ACTTGCAGCTGAGTGTCGCCTTTATATAGCAGTCGGCTGCTCGCAGACGAAAGCGTAGAAGCATCGAATTGTTCGCTATGGAAGGTTCTTGTTTTATCGTTTCTAGAACGTACTAGTTATCGGCTTCTCTCTTTCATCTGACATTCGCCTCGCTTTTTCGCAACAATACATTTTGTGCAAAAGGAGTATATATCCGTGGTGGCCGCGGTAGCCGGGTGGTTAACATTGCGTACTACTATTCGGAAGGCTCCGGTTCCAGAAACTGATAGAAAATTAATTTGAAAAAAAATAAGCTAAATTTTTTAATTGTGGTCACTCTTCCGCAGAAAATTTTTCTGGCAAAATATTTAATAAACGGGTGTGGCAACAACTGTTTGCTATCATATTGTCTAAAGTTAAGCTTAAGTTAGAGGTCCCATGTCCATATCATTCCATATCATTCCATATCAACTGATCAACAAACTGAATGCCGTAACCAAAACCATAGCCGCAACTCTAAGTTAAATGTGTCAATATCAAACACTCCCAAAAAAACTTTATTTATTTGTTTTTTTTTTTAATTTTATTTTGAGTTATTTAAATATATATAGAAATGTTTTCTTTGATTTCATTCCGATTAAACATGATTTATCCTCATTAGAAATGTTCGAAAGCTTACGTGAAATAGTTTAAATATCATATAATTTTGTATTTAAGAGTTACCCTGTATGAAATATTCATCTATGCACTTTTGCTGAGGTGTCAGCAGGAGCATGCCAGTTGTCAATTTCTGACATACAAGTTCGATTAATCAGCAATCGTGTTTTCCAATTTCACTTGTCGAAAATAAATGGTGAATTATTAGAAAATGTCCAAGGATCCTAATCAGAAAGAATCCATTATAAGAGCTGCGTACGCGGATGTAAATAAATTCGGTCAAAATGGTGAATATGAGAAAGCAGTTAAGGCCGTCAATAGAAGTAAGTTATCTTATGTTCCACGCGTACTGATTTTGTAACCCGTCCAACTTGTAATTTATACTCATTAGTTTTGGGAGTTGCACCAGACGATCAGACAGCATTACATTGTAAAGTCGTTTGCCTCATTCAACTGTCTAAATTCGAAGAGGCTTATAAATTTATAGACAAAAATAAGCTGAGCTCCACTTTAGTATTGGAGAAAGCCTATTGCGAATATCGCTTGAATAAACCAGACCAAGCATTGAAAACTATCGACAATGCTAATATTAACCCACTACCAGAAAGCTTAAAGGAATTGCGTGCACAAGTGCTTTATCGCCAGGAACGTTATGAGGAGTGTTTTGATGCATATAAGGACATTATCAAAAACACTAATGATGATTATGATAGTGAAAGACGCACAAATTTGAGCGCTGTAGCTGCTAACTTAGCTGTGGATAAGGTATTATTTACGGTTTATATCTATAATCTATCTATATATACAAAAAAAATGACTTCAGAACGTCTCGACTGATTTTGAAGAAGAAACAAAATCGAAGAAGTATATCAGAGATCAACATATTCGAAAAAAGTTATTTTTGGTTAGATTATATTGAAATTTGGTACCTAGGTTGATTTACGCTTTTTTTTAACATAAACACTACTTTTTCTCCCGGAAATCGGCCTATTCGAAAAAATTTTATTTTGCTTTCGATTTGCTTGAAATTTAGTACACTGGTAGATATTTGTCTAAATTAACACGGGGATAATTTCCAGAAATTGGATCCGATATATTATAAAAAAAATCTCATTTACGGCTAGCTACGTTACCTGTTCGCGTGATAGCTACAGTCCTTGCTGTTTGTTTATAAACCAAAAAACTTATCATCCCTATGGAGGTCATCCGGTTCCCCTGCTTTTTAATAAAATAACTTATAATTGACTTTTAGGAAAAGGAAATACCCGAGCTCCCTGAAGAGACATATGAGCAATATTACAATGCCGCTTCGATTGCTTTAAACCGTCAAAAGTATGGTGATGCTGAAAAGAAACTTCGTGCAAGCGAAAAGTTGTGTCGTGAAACTTTAGAAACGGATGGCGTTACTGAGGAGGAAATGAGAGAGGAATTGGAGCCTATACGTGTGCAATTGGCTTATTGCTTGCAAATGCAGGGCAAGTTGAAAGAAGCTGCAGTTATATATGCAGATTGCTTGCGAAACAAACCCAAGGATCCAGCTTTAGTAGCTGTTGCTAGCAACAATTCGGTGGTAATGAACAAAGATCAGAATGTTTTCGATTCCAAGAAGAAAATACGATCGGCAATGTCCGACGCATGCGAGTCCAAATTAACAAGTCGTCAGAAGAAAGCAATCGCATTGAATAATTGTCTATTGGCTTTTTATACCAACTCCAGTGATCAAGTGCAGCAGCTATGCCAAAAGTTGGTTCAAACCTATCCCGATTTGGAGTTCCAAACTTTACTTCTACAGTGCTCTCAACTTACTAAGGACAAAAGACAAAAAGAGGCTTTAGATTTACTGCATAAATATGCAGCTCTACATAAAGAAAATGCCTTCGCAACTAAATTCGCAGTTGTACAGTTGTTGCTTTCCCAAGGCAGCCGCAAAGAGGCAATCGACGTTCTGTTATCACTTGGGGAAAAAATGTATAAGCCTGGCATCATATCTGCATTAGTAACACTGTATTTGGGAACGGACAACAAACCAGCAGCTTCCGAGTTGCTTAAATCAGCTGTTGAGTGGTATAAAATGAATAATGTGAGTAATAAGTTGACTTGATATTCTATAGATATATTTTAATTCTTAATAAACATGTAGGTGAACAGTGGCGATTTAAGTGATATGTGGCGTCAAGCTGCCGAATTTCATTTGCGTGGTGGAGCATCTGAGACAGCGGCCAGCTCACTCGAAGAACTTCTAAAGCTTAACGCCAATGATATGAAGGTGTTGGCGCAGCTTGTAATTGCATATGCACAATTTAATCCATTAAGGGCTTTGGAGCTAAGTAAACGTCTTCCTAAATTGGAGACACTTACAACAGCCTCCGAAATCGACGCATTAGAGGCGGCAAATTGGGTTATGTCTACGAAAGCAGCTAAAAAATCGGCGAATGCGAAAATTGAGCAATCACCTGCAACTCCAGTTGCTGAGAAAAAGAAAGGTCGCAATCGTAAACGCAAAGGAAAACTACCCAAGAACTACAACGCCGACATCCCACCAGACGCAGAGCGCTGGTTGCCCAAATACGAACGTACAGGCTTTCGTAAGAAGCGTGATCGTCGAGCTAAGGATATTATTAAAGGTTCTCAGGGTATGGCCAGTGGAGCAGCTGAGCAATAGTAAGCCAAAATAGTATTTTAATATGTTATACTCTAATATTACGCAATTTTTTTTTATTTTTCAGTGACATGTCGAATCGTGCCAATCTTAATAAAAGCTCTCCTGCTACACCTGTATATCAGGAGCCAACACCGGGACCACGCCAACAACATCGTAAGGGTGGTCATAAAAAGAAGAAGGGTGGTCGTTTTTAAACGTTTACAATATAAATGCACCGTTAAGAATTTTTTAAACTGCACAATATTTCATTAAAAATATATATTGAGAATGTATTAAGCTAAATTACAAAACTTTTGGTAAAAGTAAAAATATATTTTATAAATCTAGTTTTTAATACGGATACGGCCAGACTCCCGTGACAGCCGGTTTTAAGTTATACCGGAGTTGTTGTAAGATCTAGGAAACGAGCTTCTTCGACGTGTTTGGGCCAAAATGAGAGGGGCGTTAGACTAGTTGTTTAAGTATGTCGGAGCTGGGGACTAGACTCTAATTGTGCCAACTTAATTGCAAGACTTCAAGAGATGGTAGCGCCTCCTAACAAATTTGTGGGCAATTTAAATAATGTACATATGCTGACCCCCTGCATCAGACCAATTGCCCATAATTGTATCCACCGAGCTTTCGGTCAATCAGTATAAGCGGCAGAATAAACACTTAAGAACTTAAAAACTATCTTCTGGCGTAACCAAGTTTTGGACCATAATCAAATCAGACAAGACGTGATGACCGGGTGGACTCTACTTTCTTGCAGAGTTTGTTCTCCTGTAAACACACAGCTTACTCCGCTTTAGCCCTTTATATGCATAATAAACATATATGCATCTAAACTAAAAATCAACTCAACTGTTGCAATACGGCAACCCTGTATTGGAAGATAGTAGATAGAAGCAGTTTCCACGGATATTTCCAAATTTTCTCAGATAACCTACGGCAAAGGCTGCAACTACCCAACGAGCGTACCAGCCGTCCATAGTAACCTATCTTATGAGAGCGATTTACCATAGCGTTGCTGACGTTTGTGTCGCAGAAACCAACGAAGTTTTGATTTTTCCGTAAAACCGGCTCGGCTCATTTTTCGTTGCTATACAAGGTTGCCAGTATAGCCTTTCTTAAAGTAACATTAAATAATCGAAAATAATGCGTAGTTTTGTTCAACAGAAATGAAAAATAAATGCGTAACTAATTATTTGTTACCATATAGATTATGTATATTTGCCTTGTGTTTATGTTAAAGCAAATAAATTATGAAATTCGTTGACGAAAATTATGAATTTGTTCAAAAGTGTGCAAACACACAGGCAGCTGGCAACATTTCGCCGCTCTCAGCGGCGTCGATAGCTCGTGTATGTATTTCACTACTAACGTCGTCAGTTATGGACGGCTGGAGAGTGAGTTGGGTAGTTGCAGCCAAAGACGACTAGATTGTAATAGAGATCTGCAGTCCATTGTTCACTCAAACCAGAGAATGTTAAGTCATTAATATTAATATACGTTCTTGTCAGAAGGTAAGTAACCAGAACTTGGTGAAAACGAAAATGTCACATCAGCCTATCTGACTGTAAGTTGTCCTCCGGTTAAAGGTTAGGTTAATCAGACATTGTGAAAACGAGCCTTAGACTTTATTTCAACTTTGCATAATTGGTTTATTTAATGTAATTTTTAAGTTTTATTTTTTTTTAAGTTTTTGTTCTTTTTTATTTTACTTTATATTATTTTATTCCATATCATTTTATATAATTATATATATATTGTTTTTTTAAATTAATCAATTATTTTATTTTTGATTATTAAATTACTTATTTCATAAGATTTTAATTTATTCTTTATATTTATTTCATTTTAAGTGCTATATTTGGTCAATTTGAATTCTGATTAGTTTTATTGTATTTTATTTTATTTTTTCATAATTTTAATTAATTTATGAACGTTTTACTAACCTATTTTAATATATTTTATCGTATTGAATTAAATTTAATTTTATTTAAACTTTAAATATTATGATTATTAATATTTGTTTAATTTTATTTAATTTTTTATTTTGGTTGTTGTACACATTATTTAATGTAATTTTTTTATGTTTTTTATTTACTTATTTTCTTCTATTATTTTATTTCACTTTATTTTATTTATTCCATTAATATTTTATTCTGTGTAAATTTTAAATATTAGTTTGTATTATTTATGTTTTTTATTACGTTTTATTTTATATGTTTAATTTATTTTAGCTTTTTAATTTAATTTGGTTTTGTACACTTTGTTTTATTTAATTTTAGTTATTTTTAATTTCAGTTAAATTTATTTTATTATATTGTATTTTAATTTTGTTTATTTTGTTTTGTTGTGTTTTATTTAGTTAAATTTAAATTCATTTTATTATATATTATTTTATTTATATTTTTTAATATGCTATTTAATTTCATTTTATTTAGTGTTATTTTATTTAACATGTTATTAACTAATATATAAAATTCTCGTTTGTTCTATAATTTAGTTCTTATTTTTATTATTATTCATATTATATTTTTTTTAATATTTTTTATTTAATTATGATTTACTTATTTTATTTTTATTTCTAATTTTATTTTCTTTCAAGTTTTACCATTTTTTATACATTTTATTTTAATTTTTTATATCAGTTTATTTTTATTTAGTTTTATTTAATAAATTTTTTTAATGTTAGTTCATTTAATTTAATTGAATATTTTTATAATGATTAATTGATTGATTTATTTTATCTTTTATATTTAATCTTGTTTAATTTATTCTATTTTAAATAATATTTTTATATTTAATCTTGTTTCATTTATATATATTTAATCTTGTTTCATTTATTCTATTTTAAATAAATTTTTATGTTTATTAATTCAGCTCATTATAATATTTAATATTTATTACGTTTTAATTTATTTTTTTTATTATGTTTTTAGTTGTTTTTTTTAAATTTACATATATAAATTAGTTTATTGAATAAAGGTTTAATATTTACTATATTCTATTTAATTTGTTCTATTTTAGGTCTTGTTTTAATTCATTTCGTTTAATTTTTTTTGCTTTTTTATTGTGTTTTACCATATTTTAAATGTTTTATTTTTCTGTTTTCTCTAACTTAGATTAAGATATTATATAATATCAATATATTCAAAATTATAATAAATACCACTTCATTGTCCATGTTCTTCCACTCTTTACCACTCTCGTTTACTATTGTTTACATTTGTGCGCATGGAATAAAAAACACAAAAAACACAATTGCAACAAAAACCAATCTGCATATGTACATCCATTGTTGTTTTAGCACCACTTTAGCGCCCAAAACATCGCAACTGTCAATTTGAAATGCAAGAATGCAAATCCAAAATTGAAATGCACTCACCGAAGCCGTACAAAGGCATTTATCACATCCGACCATAAAATCACACGTTAAGTGCCAAATTGAAGAATTATTTAGTTAATAAGAAAATAATAATAACCGACACTTATATATCAATTTTAAAGCCGAGAAATGCTGCAGTTTCAACGTAGCGAGGCATAATTTTCCACATTTTGCATAATTTGTGCGTTGCAGATGAAGAGCGATTAGTGAAGAGTGATGAGTGATGAGTGATGATGTGTCACATTTTAGAGCAACGACTTTCGAGTAAATTTAAAGTTCATTTGGCAAAAACCAAAAATATGAATTATGCTAAAAAATTTGAAATTCTCACAACCAAGTGAACAGAAGAATTGCATTTAAAGTGAATGTGGGGGGAAAAACAGATCCAGTAAATTTGAATTTTACGAAATAACATTACACAATGTGCTTGCAGAGCAAATCGGTTCGTGTTTAGGTTCATAATAAATAGGAAATTAAATGCAAGAAAACTAGTTAATTAATAAATACTCATTTTTAACGTTCAAAACTAAGTAAATCAATGCTAAACAAAATTGAAAGTTAACAGTAAAATAGCAAATCTGTGCTGCATGCTCCCTTGAAATTCTAACAAACCAGCGCTTTATCAATTATTTATTATATAAATACTTGTGATACCTGCATGCCAAACACCGTTGTGGATCCAACAAAATGCGTACAACGTTTAAACAATTGAATCAACAAAGATTTTTTGTCATATTCGCAGTTCATTTGTACATGTTGGAAAAATCAATATTGCTATGCAATTGTATTCACGGTTTAAGGTGAGCCGCACTTACATATGATTTATGTTTAATAATTTTTTCTAGAACTTCACACATTAACATTGTAATGCAGTTTTAAATGGAAATATACGCCGTTATTTGCGCTATAGCAGCTCCTTCTACTTGGTTGTAATCGAAACGCCTGTCATTTTGTCTTCCTGTTGTTGTTATTTAGAGCCAGGTGGGGCACAAAGTGAGCTTAGATTCCTGATCCATCCAACGCTGCGGAGGGCTTACTTCTACTCTGCTCTCTACTCTTTATCGCAAACAACTATCGATGAACTATTTGTCTATCCGAATGATGTGGCCTAGTCATTTTAACCGCTGTGCTATGATCATATATAATTCTCGTCATATACATATTTCTTAGAGTTCACAGTTCCACTGTCGGTGGTGTACGGCTTCGTTAAAAGGCAAAGGACTTAAATCTTCCAAAAAACTTCTCTCTCTCTCTCTCTCTCTAAAACTTAAAGTGCCAACTCAAAGGATTTTGTCATCGCCAAAATCAGTGCATCATGTACGAGGGCTTGTAGTGTTTGGTCTTTATTTATCGAGAGTGGACATTACTTTTTATTTTCTTTTCCAGTCTCAAGTAGTGGCAATACATACTAATTCCTATGGGATTTCAAAACTGATATTAAAATTTCTGCTATCGCTGATTTCTGGAAAGACGAATCGTTGTGAAATGGATTTTAAAGCGTGTGCTCGTTGACTGTTTGTTTGATTTCAGAAGATACTTCGTTTAATGGCCGCTTGAGAGCGGCTTAAAGCAAACTGTAGGACACTTTTCCATTTATTGAAAAAATACCAAGACGCTTATTACAAATTAGAATAAAATCTCGCGCGAAAACCACTTTAACGGTTACAATGCGTAAATTATATATATACATTGATACCAGAAAGTTTCCGGAAATTATCATTTAAACTCCCCGCATTGAATATTTTTCAGCACTTTTTGTTTTTGTTAAGTTGGTAGTACTGTTAAGTTGGTAACACTGTCTGTTAAGTTTGTTTGCCGCAGCTGCTGAAATCAGTTGACCTCAGTTTCCTCTGCGAATTTTCTTTTATGGCCACAATCGAGTCGAAACGGGTTCCACGGAGTGGTAACCTCAGTTTTGGGCACAAAACAATGCCGCAAGGGGCCATATCCGGTGAATACCGTAGTTGATCGATGGTATTGAACGAGTTTTTGGTCTTAAAATTGTTCACAACTACTGCTCGGTGCGATGGCGCATTATGGTCATGAAAAATCCATGAGTGGTTGGCACACAATTCCGGCCGTTTACGACGGATGCTATCGCGCAAACGTCTCAAACGCTCAAATAATACTCTTTAGAGACCGGGACGAACGAGTTCATGATGAATCAAACCGCGAATATCGAAAAAAAAATAATTTCCGGAAACTTGCTGGTCTCAATGAATGTACATACCGGCGCAACCCAAAAATTTGTAGAAAATGTGTTTTACTCCCAATATAGTTAATCCTCGTTAGAGAATTTCAATATGAATACAAATCTAATAACTAAATAATATCTTGTCTTAAAACAACTTAAAACAACCCAGGAGTCTGAAACCAACAGCGTCAGACGGTGCGAAGAGGTTCATACCAGCTTTAAGGCTGCCTTTCACATTGTTTAAAGTGAATTAAAATGAAACGTAGCGGCGTTTAGCAGTGGCTAAATTCCAGCCCAGAGGCCAAATCTCCTCTCCCAAGGGGCACATACCTATAACGTCACAAAAAATAGTATAGCGGTGTTGAACCCCACGACCATGGAGTTCACGAAATAGTCCTATGATGCGAGATAATGCGTTCACCAAAAGTTTCCTGCAAGAAATTGCTATTTTCCTTGGAACCAATGGTCGACCACATCAACATCTTTCAATTTAAGCACGAAAAAAGTAATTCATCATGGCTCTATAGCATTCTTCATTGACTGTAACATTATGATCGGCTTCATTTTTGGAAGAATGTGGATGAATGATTCTCCCTGCTCATAGAACATACTTAAAAGTGTATTTTTGGGGAAATTTGTGCCCATTCAACCACAAGTGAACGAAGTTTTCTTGTGAAAATCGGGAGCAGTGGACATCTCGTTTCGAGCACATTCACTGAACGTGCGACGCACTTGATGGCCGTTAGGCTTTAATACTAGCAAAAGTTGGGTTTTGTAACTCCGCAAACCAAGATCCTTCCGCGAATCGGTTGAACACAGTTTGAATTCCAGGACTTTGTATCGGATATTCTGTTCCGTGAGGAACAGAAAATAATTTTAGCAAAATTTAACATCTCAAAATCCAATTAAAATTAAAAATAATTAAAATCGTACTTTTGAAAATTACAGAAATATCACTGAAAGCGCAGAATTAGTCACTGGTATCGAGTCTAGTTTGTCATTGCCCGATATTTTGCCAATACCATCGAAAAATTATGATAAAAATCGCGCACCCAAGCTACTTGGACAGCCGACCGTTGTCTACTTCCATGTGACAGTGTTGTCGTTGGACTCCATCAATGAAGAATCGATGGTAGTATTTATATGGACAAATATATTTGCAAGTAAAAAATACTATTACATTATATCTACTTTCAGACATATGTCACAGATGTATTCCTAGCACAAAGTTGGCGTGATCCGCGCCTGCGACTGCCAGAGAACATGAGCGAACAGTATCGCATATTGGACGTTGATTGGTTGCATAGCATTTGGCGACCGGATTGCTTCTTTAAGAATGCCAAAAAGGTCACATTTCACGAAATGAGCATACCAAATCATTATCTATGGTTGTATCATGATAAGACGCTGCTCTATATGTCCAAGTGCGTGTAAACTAAACTAAACAAACAAAATATTTGATTAATCGACGATTTTACCACAACTCGAAATGAGCAATAATTTAATATATTTTTTCTTTTTCCAGGCTAACATTGGTGTTATCTTGTGCCATGAAATTCGAGTCATACCCGCATGATACGCAAATCTGCTCCATGATGATTGAAAGTTGTAAGTGAACGCATCGTTTAAATAATTTTATTATTTATAGATTTTAAATTTATTTTCTTCAAGTATCACATACGGTTGAGGATTTAGTTTTCATTTGGAATATGACCGATCCGCTGGTGGTCAATACTGAAATTGAATTACCACAATTGGATATATCGAATAATTATACAACCGACTGCACTATTGAGTACTCAACAGGTAAGAGAGCATGTCCTGGTCATAAGGGAAAACGAAAGACTTAAGACACGAACCTGTAAAAATGTTCATTTGCCAATTATAATCGTGGCTGTTTTGAAATCGATTTGAATTGAGTAATGCGAAAAAAAAGTAAATTCCATTCGAAGTGTCAAAATTCAATCGTTTGTTGCCGCATTCAAAGTTTACAAAGTTATGTACTTATGTAAGTGACGTCCGTTGGTATTATTAAACAAACATAAGTGGAAAAATTAAACAAGAGATTTTTAGGTGGGAATATTCCATTGAACCCGTAAAATATTTTATGATATAATCGACGGAAAATTGTATATATTATGTACAATTATAATACACTGCTATGGTTCTGTTCGTATTGCGACAAAAAATTCGCTAAATAATAAATCGCCGGGATTTTTCGATCGAATATTCCAAATCTCTTGAATAAAAAGATTCAAAGAAAAGTTTAAGAGATAATTACGAAATAATTTAAAAGGGAATAAAATAAAATAATTAAAAAAAAAACAAAAATAAAATAAAAAAGAATTAAATAAAATANAATAAAATAAATAAAATAGAATAATATAAATTAAAATTAAAACAAATAAAATTAATTAAAATAAAGTAAAATAAAATAAAATAATATTAAATAAAATAGAATAAAATTAATTAAAATTAAATAAAAAAAATAAAAAAAACAAAAAAAAGTAAAATAAAATAAAATGAAATAAAATACAGTAAAATAAAAACTAAAATTAAATGAAATGAAAAAAAAATAAATAAAATAAAATCAAATAAAATAAGCAAAGATAATATAAACTAAAATTAATTAAATAAAATTGAGTAAAAATAAATAAAATAAAATAAAGTGAATAAAAGAAATAAAAAAAAATAAAGTAAATTAAAATAAACTAGAAATAAAATAAAATTCAAATAAAATAAAATGAATTAAAATAAAAAATAATAAAATAAAATAAAGTAAGATAAAAACTAAAATTAAATGAAAGGAAAAAATGAAGAAGAATAAAATAAAATTAAAGAAAAGAAAAACTTAATTTTGTTTATAAAACAAACGAAAGTAAAAAAGAACCAATACAAAGCAAGATAAAATAAATTAAAAGCTAAAATAAAAATTAAATTAAACGATAAATAAAATTAATTTAAATGAATTAACACAAAAGAAAACAAACTAAATGAAAATATAATCAATAAAAAAATTAAATAAATCAAATGATAAAATAGAATAAAACAAAATTTAATCAATGCGGGCTATATGGTGGATACATCAAGACTCTTCCACACACAGCACCTTTTTCTTGATCAATTCTGGAAGCTTGTTTTGAAGAGCTTTGTCGAAAATTGGTTAACTGATGACGTAGAGCTCAAAATTGACAATTTCCTTCCCCACCATACACTCAGAATCACCTTGTTTGACTTTCATGGAGGGTCAAAGAGAGGGTCGCACTGTTAGTACAATAGTTCGGTCAATTGATTTTTTTTTTTGCGTCAATTCATGTGTCACCCTAAACATCGATTTTCCATGAGTAGCCAACATTAGCAACGTTACGTCCGCTTTTCTGTAGTAGAAAACCATCACAGGATGTATTTCTGCCGAAATTTCACTCTTTTTTAAATCAAAATAACTTTTCACATGAAAGACGATTTGCAGAACTATGCCAATGTCCAGCTCTCTGTGCGGTCCATTGTCGATTTCTTCCTCGATTGCCTAGCAGAGCTTTCTTCCGTAGATCTCATTACTCTCCTGAACGCCACAAAGGAAAGGTCGAAGGAATCTCTTCAGCAGGATCAAGCAAACTCTTAAACCAACTAACTAAACTACATTTTGAATATAATTTCTTAATATGTATATGCAATGCTAATAGTCTTAATAGAGTTTTCATTGATGTCTTTAGGCAACTTCACATGTCTGGCTATTGTCTTTAATTTGCGTCGCCGTCTTGGCTATCATCTCTTCCATACGTAAGTGCCACCAGAAGTTACTACTGCACACAATCGTCTGCTATGATTAAAGTTTTTTTTTTAATATCTGCCTTTTAGCTATATTCCATCAGCACTAATTGTGGTCATGTCATGGATATCGTTTTGGATCAAACCCGAAGCGATACCAGCTCGTGTTACACTCGGCGTTACATCGTTACTCACACTCGCCACACAAAATACCCAATCACAACAATCCCTTCCGCCGGTGTCATATGTAAAGGCTATCGATGTATGGATGTCTTCGTGTTCGGTATTTGTATTCCTATCGTTAATGGAATTCGCTGTGGTGAATAACTATATGGGACCGGTGGCGACGAAAGCCATGAAGGGCTATTCGGATGAGAATATACACGAAATCGGTGATATGAAGGTGAGAAAGGTGAAGTGCTTCCATTGGATAGTTAATAAATAATATGTTAAATTAAACAAAATATAATTTTTTTTAATATTTCCCTCTCAAATAGAATCACCATCGGGAATCCATAATTGAACCACAATACGACACATTCTGCCACGGACATGCCACAGCGATTTATATCGATAAGTTCTCGCGTTTCTTTTTCCCATTCTCGTTTTTTATACTGAACATTGTTTACTGGACAACATTCCTTTAGTTGTTAAAGTTTAAAATAAACGAAAGACGTTATTTTTGTTTGAATGATATTTTGAGAGTTGATGTACTTACATAGATAGGGAAAGTAAAATTTGCTTTTATATTATTTACTGCCCTAGACATCGCTTACGAGATTATAGCTGAGTTAAAAACAGGGCGCCGTTCATTCCCACAATCTGGTCTCTCAGTATTCTGATCCATCCGGACACCATGAACTAGCCACCTTAGCGGCTGTCGCTGAACTATGTCTATGCCTTCGTATATCTCATGGTATATCAGCTCATAGGTTGGCAAGAGTGATTCTACGTTGTAGTTCAAGGTTCGCATTGTTGTTGGTAATAATGCTGGTTCAAAGAGCTAGTGACTATTTTGTTGATGACGGGGTAATATTTTGTTTTGTCCTCATTCACCACAAGGCCCTTACGTTTCGCTTCGTGATTCAGCGTGGGAAAAGCAGAACTTACCGCCCTCTTGTTAAGGTTTGTAAGGATACCAAATTCAGACATATTTGCAGCTCCTTTTTATGCTGTCGAAGGCTGTATTTAAATCGACGAAATGGTGGTCAGTGTCGATGGTCATTTCACAGGTCTTTTCTAAGATTTAGTGCAAGCTTAATATCCAGTCAATGGTTGATTTACCAGGTCTAAAGCCATACTGATGAGGTCCAATCAGTTTGTTTACGGTCAGCCTTTTACACAATACGTTTGGTAGGATCTTATATATAATATATGATATTAAGAAGGCTTATCCCATGCTAATTGAAACCCTCTATTCGAAGTTGTTTGTGCTGAGAGACCAGAACTGGCAGTAAACCAGGAAAAATCCTACATCTGTATTTTCTCTAGAAAGAACAGTAAAGCACCCCGAATATGGAATATTTGCAGAAAAGCTGCTAAGAGCGGCCTGAAATGGTTGATTGGCTTATACAAATGTCGTAAGACCACTATTAACACACGAAGCACTAGTGTTGTGGGCGACATTAAAAATAAAATTCCATATTAAACCTTTGGAACTTGAGAAAGCAAGTCCGATCAGGGCTACCGCAACAAAAACTCTAGAACTCATTCCTTACACAAGCCAATTAACATACAGCCAGCTGATGTACGGAGCAGCGCTAACAACTAACCGCCTTAATCTTGTAAATCATTGGGTCCCCAAATTTTAAAGGACAAGGCGAGTACATGCCACCACCCAAAAATGGATGAAAGGAGGGTCTATCAGTACTAGTGAAGACATTCATATCTACACTGACGGGCCTAAGCGTGAGGCAGGCACAGAACCTTCTTCGTCGGCGACTACTCTAATAACGAAGGTAACTTCAAACTCAAAGACTACAACTGTGTCTTCCAAACAGATTTTTTGTAGGATGTGGTTTAACACAAATTCAAAATGCGTTAAATTATGAAACAGACTATCACGTGAAAACACAATGAATGTAGAAGAAAATGAAAAAGCTCGCTAGCGACGCAGTCGAGCTTGTCTACATCGACTGCCTCAGAATCTTTAAATTTTTTTTAAAGCAGAGGTCCATGGATGATCAGTTAAATCAAAAGTGTTATTTGCATTCAACAAAAGAGCACTTAGCATCCTTGTGGGTGCACTAACGGATCATTTACCCCCTTAGATATTTATTTTTTATTATCTCCACAAGCAAGGTGAAGTGGAATCGATTGAGTAGTCTGGTATAAGCGGGGATCGAAAAGAGCCTTTTCAATTAAGCTTAAGTGCGACCGCTTGCGTTCAGATCTTCAACGTCACTTTTTCAACTAACCAATTAAGGTTACATTCTTAAAATTTAATTTTGCAATATTTAAAAGTTACTAAACACCAAAAAATATTAAATTTGAAAAGTTAAGTCTTTCATTGTGGCACAACTTCGGCTTGTTTCACTTTGAACTTTAGCACATTGTGATTGATAATATGAAGGAAGAGAACGATCATTATTCAACAATACATTTATAATATTTTTATTTGAATTTTACATTTTTCTTGTCGTATTCGTGCTATTAGCTTTTCATCAGTTGATCACATTGGAAAAATCTATTATACTATATACATATATATATATTTATATGTATATATATATATATTATGTGTTTAAGCATATTTATTATTTTTTATTTATATATGAATGTAGTATGTTGTTGTATCGCATATTTAATTAACTTTCAGTACACAATGCTAAATGTATATGTATGTATATTAATTTTTATTTATTTATGTTTGTATGTATGTATATGGAAAAGACGAAATTCTCAAAAATTAATAACATTCATACTAAATACGTTGGTAATTCCTTTTTGGGGTATATTTATTTAATAGTAAAAATATAATATTAATAACTACAGTATGTATTATAATAAACGTAAAATTAGACTAATCAATAACTCATTAATATTATATACATAAATACATATGCTATACAAATACAAATGCAGTAATATTTCTTTTAAATATATGAAAACGAAAATAAGCAATCAACTGAATTGCATACATATTTATGTGTACGTATTCATGTACATACATATACATATATATATAAAATGTGTTCGCACACAGTTGGGAGAGCGTCGTTATATTTATTTATATGTATATATATTTTTTTTTCTTTTAAATTTCTTTTATATTTACTAATCACTTAGTTAATATGTTTGTCGTTGGTAGCAAAACTAAAATTTAATATAATATATTTATATGTAAGCTTCAATTGTTTGCTTAAAGAAATGATAATATGATATTAGAAAAAAATGATGCACACACACTACTTAAACATAAGCATGTATTTTAATACGATATTTAACTATACTATCTATATATTTATATATGTATATGTATTTGATAATGTATCCGCTTTAATAACCTCGCTATACTTTGATTATATCGTCGAAATTTTAAATTCATTAAAATCTTTAATAAACGCTGATTTTGCTAATTTTTATTTTCCTTTTTTTACGACGCAACTTAATAGCAACATTTGTAAAAGAAATCAATAAGGAACGAAACAAACTGCTTGGGGGGAGAGGGCAGTTGCTCTACTGTAAGCAAGCTTGAATTTTTTCAATCCATTCTTGTGCCAAATTCGCATTTACGGCATAGAAATTGTAGGTGCGTCGATTGGTTTTCAACTGTAAACGAGAGGAAATAATTGTTTATCGTATTCATTTCGTATAATTCAAAGCTCAGTTTACTTACATCGAAGAAACCTTTCTCGTCAATACGTTTAGTGCCGATTTGTGCGGGTTGTGCTGTTGTTACAGATTGCACCTCAGCCAATTCTATTCATAAAAAAAGAAATTAAAAATTGAAATACACTTTCATACTTATATTAGACAAATTTTACTACGGAATTTTTCAACAATAATTTGAAAACAAAATTTACTATACAACTGTTAAGAATAAGCATTGTTGTAGAGCTACTTGTGGCTTCATTAAAAAGCAGCTGATTAAATAATCACTTTGGCGTTTAATAATAATTTTATGCCTAAATACATACACTTCATATATACAATTAGGTATGACGTTTAACTTGCTTTAGAAAAAAGTACGTATAATTTTGTTTATATTTGTTTGTTTGGTGCCTCTCCACAACAGGGCAGGGCAACATGAGTGCTCCTTGCAGGTGTTAAAAAGGGTATTATCACCACTTCTTCACTTTATAATAATAATAATATCTCTTTATTATTCCGTATTACCGAGTGGTTGAAACCGCGCACGATCATGCGAAAGGTCACGGGTTGGATTCCGGGTGAGACGAATATCCAAATTTATATATAATTAATTTTTCTAATTATTGTACAATCGACCCCATGCAGATATGTCCAACCTCTTCGAGTGTAATTCTGACATAAAGTAAAAAAAAAACACATAAGCCATCAGCCGTTCGGAGGCGGCTTAGAATGGGATCTAAAGTTTATTCGTTAAAGAGACATCGAGAAGCAGACCCCGAATTGGAGAAAGAGCTCGACTGAAAATATTTCCAACGGTTATAAGGAGCTGCTTAGTGAATGCAATGAAAATCTTTACAAAAAAACAGTTCCTTCGGAAGGTATCCCTCGGTGTTAAACTGGAGTATCTTCCAATCATAAGAGTTCAAATCTTTTTCTAAAGCAGCCTGGACTATTCGAAAGCCTGAGGAAACTACTACGTCACTTTTACCGTTAGAATGCCTCGGTGACTTAGATTGATTTTAAAGCTGCCCCTAAGCGTGCTTAAAGTAGCCGCTACAACAACGACCACTCTACGTAACTTTTAGGAGAAGGTCTAGCGTTGGCCGAGTGTAACTACCTTTTTCCCAAGTACAAGCTCTGAAATTATTATAACAAAAGGCATGTAAGGCATCCCCGTTCCAAAAGTTCTGGCGCAAGTCGGATCTTTATACCAGCAACGAATCGAATTTTTATCCGGCCAAGGACAGTCAATACCGCAACCTTCTCCAAGCACCTTTTTTTACGACTAGCACATTATTATTACAAAATACGTAAATATTTTACCAACATACCTATAACTCCTTTGCATTGTGAATCCTCACCAGAATCATAATAGCGTAATTGATGCTTTATCGAGTCTAAGACAAACCAACGCTGTTTCCAGCCTTTCAAAAGTGCACCACGTTTGTAGAGATGACTAAAATGTAAAATAAGATTATATTGCAAAGAAGTGTTGAGTTATCGAAGAATTTTAGTAAAAAGTAAAATACAAAAGCATAAAACGTTTGCTATGAAAAATAATAATATCGTGAGCCCTCACCCCTCATGTGTGCGATTCTCCGCCACATTGCTGCTAAATTGATTGTAAAAGTGGTGACTGGAGGTGCGTGCCGTTGTCGCAGCACTCGATGCAATACTGGAAGTGTCACCCTGTGAGATGTTCACATTTGGCGGCACCACACCGTCGACAGCTTTATATTTGGTGCAGTTCTTCAATGAAACCTCAGTGCATTTCTCATGATAAGAATTGCCGCAGTCCATGCAACGATAACCGACTGGACCCCATAACAGTTTTGTACAATGATTGCAATTCGTGGGCGTGGTGTACGGATGTTTCTCGAAACGATGCGGATGAAAGAATTTATCTTGATAACCACTCAATCTACCCTTCATTAATATCTCCAAAGTTGAGCGCTTGTGCGCCAATTTGCCGTGTGATTGCAGGAGTATGCTACTGAGAGATGACTTGCGTGTAAGCTCCTTCATTTGTGGCACTTCCAATTGATCCCATACTTGCAGCCATTTTTGTGGCAAATAGCCACGCTCCGTTTCCGCTTGACGGACATCACTCAACAGGCAAACGAATGCATTCGGATTGCTCTTCTCGATATTATCATAGCCTGCGCTAACTACTATGCGTTTGCCACGTAACTCAGACAAATCGATTTCATCATCTGCATTGGTGAGTTCCAAATCATAGGGTGGACCTTGAGCCAATTCTTCATTAGTGTAATATGGCCAGAGATCAAGTGCGGGCAGTGAGCTTTGCGGTCGCAGCACATCATCACGTACGCAATACATAAAATTATAGAATATCTGTGTCTTCGCATGTTGTCGCTCTATGTAATCGAATATAGAGTGGCCGATGCGATTGAAATTCACTGAGGATTGGGCTTTGGAGCGTACGTCCATGGGATAAACGCCCTCATCATCGGAACCGGTGTTGCCTTCGAGAAATTGAAAAAACAAAGAAATTTAATTATTATGGCTGAGAAAAATTATAAACAAATATTAGCAATAATATTGAAATATATGTACATACATATGTGTTTATCATATTCACATTCAGACAACAAAAATATATACTACATAAAATTACATACATATATAGTTATTATAAAATTGATACATATGTATATATGTACGTAAGAAAATCTATTTATGGGTCTAAGCCAAGACTAAACAAAAAAATGTTTTTCTAACTCCAATTCAGTTTTTACAACATTTCTTCGCTAATTATATTTTTAAAACATTTCTTTTGTAAATTTTGAACTTTTTTTCTCATAACAAACTTTTTAAAACCCAAAAGAAAAAAAAAACAAGTAGATAATAGTGATCAAAATTAAAGTAATAAAGTATTATAAAGAGCAGCAAGCAAATTCAAAGCAGTGAACGTTAAATTTTCCTTCCAGCAAAGATCTCAAATACCACTCCAAGCGTACACACATAAATCTTACATTTATTATTACCCAACAGATGGTGTTTAGTGCTCAGCGAGCCTCGTTTATCCTCCACTGACGCAATACCCAAATCGAAACGTTCCACTTCACAATCAAAGAGGAAGGTACGGAAGCGGCATGAGACCATGTGATAGGCCAGGAAGCGCACGTAAAACTCATTGAATTCAAATGCCATTGGAAACTGTTTTTGTATTTGATATACAGCATCTAAGAACTGCAAAAATGTTGGCGCAAATGCTATACTCGAATTGCCATGTGTTGGTTTCAAGTTGCTACGATGTGCAAAGCGATGACCAAATGCGATCCAATCCTTTTCAATGAGCACACGAAAGCCCTCCATTGTGCGATAGTACGGATCGAGACAGAGTTGTGCAATAGATGAAATTTGTGCCGTTATATCCCAACCATCCTCAAGTGACAGCATCACACTAGACTCTTGAAGATCCATTAAATCAACTACAGCACCGGAAAGTTGAAGTAGCGAAGAAATTTGTTGTAACCACTCAGACTGTTCGACACTTTTAGCGAACGTTTGATCAGCATCATTGGTTGTATTCGAGGGTAAGCAAGCGCGCATAAGCTTTTTGAAAGCTATACGTGATTGACGGTAATCAGCATAGTCGACGGCTATGAACTCGGCACAGAGATCAGCGTTGATGCCTGATTTTGTTTGAGATTTTTCACCTTAGAAATCAAAAGTATATATTATTTACGAAGCCAAATTGACAACTTCTTTAACATATTTCACTTACCCAATACATATAGTCTCAGTTTCCTATACGCGGCTGTGGCTGCTGAAACAGACGAGTTATTTTTTATCGTATTCGATTTCGGTTTCAAGGAATCTGTCCAATTATTTGATTTTCCATCGCTACCAGCTGTAAGTGCTGATTTATGCTTGCGATTAACTTCCGGTGTTAGTGAAGTGTCACCCCGATTCAGATAGGACGATTCATCGCTGGCATTCAAAAATAGCGAATTCATGGATAAGTTCATGCCCGTTAAATTATACTGCGCCAAAGCTAAGGAAATATTTTTTGGCATTGAATCAATGAGCGCTGAAATATATTTATCTTGCTCATGATAGTTAGCGACGTCGTGTGACATGGTATTCGAACCAGTGGAATTCTTCAGCATGCCTTTTGAATACGACGAAAGATAATATTTATTAAATATTGCGCAATTATTATAAATTTGTTGGACTCACCGATCACCGACTTGCTGTGCGGCAGTGCACCTCTAATTAATAATGCACCATTGCGATGCCGCCATGTTACTGCCGGTATGCGTTGGCTCTTGTAGCAGCGTCCCAAGTGCAAAAGCGCTGCGTCATTTATCTGTAAAGGCGCCACCAATAACGCCGGATATGAACGACATAGACTATAGTTGGCATTCACTGTAGTTATGCGGAAACCATTTTGTGCATCATCAAAACCCAAACGCTTCCAATCGCGCACATAACTACGTTCACGCATACGCTCCACATCTTTGGCGGTTAACACGCGTGGCATGGTATCAGTATTTGTTTCGAACTCATCGTCTTCAAGTTCATCGTCCAATGAATGGGTATCTATGGCTTCTGTTGACGGACCAAGCGTATCAAAATCTAAAGTAGATGTGACCAATTTGCGTTTTGTTGGTGCTTTCTGTTTAAATTTGCGTAAAATAGTTTTCTTCGCGAAACCTTTTAGGGTTGAGTATTTTTCTTTGGTTTTAGATGGTGCTGTACCATGCATAATGGTACCGTACGATTGGAAGGCAAAGTGCTCGAACTCATCAATTGGATGACGAGCCTTTGTGAGTATTTTACGGAAAGTTTCTATCATTTCCGGTGTCACCTCTGTATCGAATGCGATTTTCATCAGTTGGAAAGTACTAGAACGTAGTTGTAAACCCTCTGGTAGAGTTTGATCTAAATGCGATAAGTATAGTACTGAGATCTTTTTTTCCTTCAGCAGTGAAGAGATGGGAAATGCACGTATAATCGTTTGTTCACACGCGAGCGGATCACAAGGGGAGCCTAAAAGTAAACAATATATATTTCATATTACAACTATTTCTGTAATATACTCGTATTAGTAAGTAAATTACACTTGCACTCACCTTTGAATACAATGCGATAATTTGTTAAGAACAATGCACCTTCGGCTGGTATCCAACTCTGCGTGTCATCTTCCCTGCCATCAGGCATGAGATAGCAACGCAAGTGATCTGTCACGATTTCCTCGCCTGGCAGTAAACATGGTGTCTGTATTTTTGGTTTTTGTACATGCGGATGCCGTTTAGATTCTAAATAAACCGATTCCAGCATTTCGATATGCATGTGCACAACACCAGGCACCATGTCGTGCAGATTGCGTATATGCTCCGAGGTGACACCGCCCTCAGTGCAAACGCGATCGATGAAACGCGAAACAATTTTTCCAACCGCACCACCCACTTCCAATGCATCGTTCTCCTCAAAGCCTTCATCCGAATGCTCACTTAAGCTATGCGAACCCATAATACTGGAAAATATTAAAAAGAAGGGCAAACACTTTTATTGTTGTGTGAAAGTAGCAGCAAAATTGCAAACATTTTTTGAGCAGTTTTAGTTTTATGTGTAAGTAGCTTTTAGTAAAAATTCAGCATATAAATTAATTAAAAATACCAAATTTACTTAGCATAATTTTCTAATGAAGCAATTAAAAGTGTAATTTGTGGCATGAATGTTAAAAAGAAGTATAAATGTGTCTATATTATAATACAACGAAAAAGTTTTAGGAACAAAATTCGAGTGTGTGCTTGTATAAAAATATATCCAACAGTTCAGTAACTTAAACATGTTTTTTTTTAATTTTTATTTGTTTGTACAGCTTCAAAATAACAAGAAAAAAATTAGTTAATTACATAAATTGCAGATTATTATCGGAATATCCAAACAAGTGCATGTATGTACATATGTATGTATACGAGTATACCTAATTATATGTTTTATAATAATTATTATCCATTTGCTCAATTAACGAAATAACTAATAGTCATAGAATATTTCACAATTAATAAAGAAAAACGTTTTTGGTAGTTCTCCTTTAATATGAATTCTATTATACATACATACATCTGACGGAATACAATTTTGCCACAATATTTTTTAACTCACAATAATTGAAATTAGTTTTGTCATTAATTGTTGATGTTGTGAAATTAAATTGTGTTATGAGCGCAATAAAAGCAACCTCCTCTTCAAACCAACTAATATTTAAATTCATATTTTAAATTCAAGTAAAATAAATAAATATAAGTATAACTGATAAGAACAAACAAAATCAAAACAAACTATATATATATATATTTTTCTTTTGTTGTTAAACATGCTGTTTAAAACTAAAACAAATTAAAGCCAAACGCAGGTGACAATAACTCAAGATATGATTAAGTGTATTTTTGTGCTTTAAAATGTAAGAACACAATCGTACCTCAATTTTGGAAAAGTACTTGTTCTATAAATAAATGGAAAAACTGAGATTACATATTTTAGCCAGACCCCATTAAAATAAAAGCAAATATTTTACGTATAGATATTTCAAAAACTATTTATGAAAATTTTAAGTTAGAGCAAAATGTTTGAGCTAAAGAAAAATACCGATTGAAAAGCAATGTGCCCGAAGAGAAGAAAATTTTACTTTTTTTATCGTCGCGAAAGAATTTACTTTTAACAAGTACGGTAATGATCGAACTAAATAAATGTATATTCACAGCGATTGATTCGATATTTAGCAATTATTTATTAGTCTAATTAAATATTTTACTCATACTACACCCAACAAAACCCTAATCTCATATTATAAATTGAAATAACTGAATAATTATCCCCATAAAATCCAAAAACCAAAAAAATCAAAGCCCATCCCTCAACACTAACCTATTTGATACACTTTGATTATCATCTAAGCGAAATGATTGCTTCGGTTTTGGTCCCACCGCATTCACGTCGGGTGGTATTAGCAACGAAACCATACGATTGGCATAGTGTATGGCCTGTGAATAAAGTGTGGATTCTTCAGATTGCGCCAACTCCTACAAAGGAACAAAAAAAAGTTTATCTTTATATAAACATGTGAAAAGTGAGTTAAAATTTCCAATCACATTTTTCTTATCCTCTTCAAGCGCTGGACTTTTACGCATTTGCTCGGCGGTTATTTCAAGCGCAGTTGGCTCTTCTAACGGTACATCGTCTAACACTATATTCGATTCCTTATTACTCTCAATTTGACGACGTCGCTGCATGTACAAAGCTTTAATTTGTGTTTGCACATCCTGATAGAAAGTTGATTCCCAGAATTGTAAATTCTTCCATATTGGATGATCCTGTATGCATGTGTAGGCGAATTGTACAATACCCGTGGACAGTTTGCGGCAAAATATTGTTGACATGGGCAAAAGTGCTGCAGCAACTGTGTACTCGTCAACGCCAGTGGAATTTTGTATCGTTTTATTCATAAATCTGTGGAAGGTAAATGGAGTATAAGCAATGATATTTTAGAAAATAATAATAAATAGTTAGAACTACAAAATAATAATAAATATAAAATAATATAACAATTTATAAAATCAAATTTATTCTATAAAATAATTTTTTTTTACTAAGCAAAAATTTAATCACTTACTTGATTACCAAGTCGAATTGCTGATGGTCAAGTATTGCTTTATTGCCATGAACATAGCCGAAGAGTTCACGGCAGAGGATTAGACGAGCATCACGATGTTTGAGTGTACGCATCACTGCTGGCACAAGTTTACGTGCATCGGCAATTTTATTTTCGAAAATGTAAGCAACGCAAGTTTTTAGTACCTGAAAAAAGAGATAAATTAAATTTTAAAGTAATAAAAAAGTATATTTAAACCAATATTTACCTCTAGCCGACGCGCTGAATTCAACACTGCCGGGCGCACATCTAGCACTTCGGGCAAGCGTGGCCCCATCGGTATGATGCGCATTTGGTTTCGCAACACAGTTAAACGATGCGAAATACAATTTTTGCGCATACCATCGTTGATAATCAGTTCTACTTTTTCGCTACTAATACGTGGAAACGATGGCTGGTGAATACGATGAAAGGAACCATCTGGTGGTCGGAGTACTTTTTGTGCATAAATTTGTTGATTTGGGCATTCATTTTCGAAGAGTATTTTTCCTAGTTCCTGTATGTGAGTGGGGATCTGTAATTAATATGCATACAAATTAATATATATTATACACTTTCCCTTAAAAAAATTGTTTATTAATATTAATTAATAATTTTCATTTAATAGGAATATGAGTTTTTAATTTGAAACAACATCTTTTTATTACTTACTAAATTCTTATTTTGCGCTTCACTCTTTAGAATCTCATTCATCGAACTATAAAGTTCATCCCAAGCATCTGAAGAGCGCCAAGGTGGTCCACGCTCATTGACGAATGTCGTAAAGAACATACTATCCAAAACTCGAAATAAGAATTCACTTTCAATCAAATCACGCGCACCGAGAAATCCGGCTTTATGGAAAGTTATCACCGGTTTTGGATGTATACGTATAATGGTCAGACATGAACGATAACTAAAATAATAAAACAAAACAAAAGTTAGTTAATTAACAATATTTTATAACAAATACATATTCTTACCCTTGCAGCAATTGCGCGAACAATCGCATAAAGATAGCACGCAATTCTTTATCAATTATGGCATCGGATTTTGGGTAATTTGTGGGTTTTTCAAGAGATGGGAATGCCAAATCAGCCTGTGAAAGATTCGGAAATAATATCATTGTAAGCAGCTCTTGCGTCTGTTCCCAAAGTGGTGATGGCAGTATGGGCACCGGTGGTGAAAGTGACTCTGGTATCGTCACCATGCCGCCATCTAGATCAACAACGATAACATCCAACAGATCAGTAATTTCGCTCACTAATGAACTATGTATGCCCATTATGAAGGGTGTGGGTGTGGAGAGAACTTCAGTTAACGGTGCTGGCAATATCGGAATGTACACGTGCGTGTATCTAGGGAAAGACAGAATATAATATGCTTTATTTGTAGACTAAGTAAAACGATATTTACAATAAAATACACACAAATGTGCTCTAGCAAATATATTATATACTAGTTAAAGGCAACACTTTATAATATGTGTTAATATCTGTAGATATGAAAATGAGAATTTTTCTATGTATTATGCAGCTGTAAGCATATTTCTCTTTGTTTTGGGAACGAAAAGCTGCTCAATCAATTTTATACTTTTGTTTTGTTTTCTAAGTACATATTTAAAGTAAATCATCGTGAGATCTTTACCTGAACGGATACATCAGCGATACCAGTGCTTTGCAGCTTTCAGTCAAATGTGAATAGCTTTTCGAATGGAATAGAATTTTATTCTCCGTCATAACTGCGCACAGCAGTATAAGTACATTCTTAATACCTAAAAGCGATATGTAGCAACGTAGCAGGGCCACATAGTAATGATTGTGCACATCAACCCGATCCACATGAGTGACATATTGCGGTTTACATGTTCGGTGGTTTTAAATTATATTGCGTTCGAGGCAATCGATGTTCAGATCAATTCCAATGTAATGCGTCATATTTGGAAATAAAATGAAGAGATTTTATTTTCAGTGTAAATATGTATATGAGTTCGTGAGGATGTTTGGATTTTTAGTAATTTAAATTTTCTGCATACCTAATTGCTTAAAAATAAAGTAAACAGCTGTACCAGTCACTGGCAGCGATGGCGATTGAGGTGGCTGTAGCGATTGCTTATCGCCAGCACCTATGGAAAAACGTACTTGCGGACCGCCTGCAGGCGGCACTTGTATACAGCCGAGAATATTGCCAATGAGATTCTCCAATGTGTAGGGTAGATTTTCTATGTATACTGTGTAAATTGTACCAAGACAATTCTGTAAACAAAAAATTAAAATTAGATTCTTTTGTTTACGTATATAAAATATGTGAAGTGATAAACATTAAAGCATATCTAACCTTGAATGTGTCTGCATAGTCGAGCCGCGATATTAGCACTAGACATTTGGGAGCATACATAACACTGTGATGGGAAACAATGCTGCTGCTACCACTTCCAAGGCCACTAGTGCAACCGGTGATTGTTGGCTGGAACTTAGCACCCACAATGCCGCTAACAGTAGCAGCCGCCTCATCTTCCTCATCGATCACTTTATTAAGCGTGATAGCCAATGTTTCGTGGAAACTGAGGCAGGCACAATAATGTTTGTTTGCATCGATATCAGTAAGAACGGATGTAAAAAATTTAGGCTCTTGCTTATCGTACGACAAACCCCAGCCAAGTGGTTGACAAAACTATTACGAGCACCATTCAATACGCGATCATAAAATGAATAAAAAAAAAAACAATATTTAAAGGGTAAAGTCCGATTTAAGTTCATGTATTGTTAAATATATCAAAAATTAATTGCATTTCAGAACAATAAATAAGTGAGTCATAGTATTGTATACTAATATGGGAATTTTAATAGAATCTAAATAAATAAAAAAATAATAATATTTAATCGGATATACAATATGAATAACTGTTTAGTAAGTACTCTTTTAATAACACAGCAGCTCATTTTATCAACAACTTTTTTTAATGCTCATGATGAAGAATTTAAATGCCTATCTACATATATACATAGCGTATATACATATTATCGCACACGTAACTATACATACCCACTCTATGCCTTCAATAAATGGTGTATCCGGCCAGTCCTTTTCCGGAAAACGCTGCACAATCTTCCCACATGACATTTGGCTGTTACCAGCAGCAGTTCCTAAAAGTAATTAAAAAAAACTACCATTAGTAAGGAATATCCATAAGCTAACATACCTATGTAGATATTTTTTTACTTTGCTAAGTGAAGCACATATGTAAATACACATATTTATGCACATTTATGCATTGAGTATATATAACATTCTAATGAAAAATTACTTACGTTCTTTATCGTTATCATATCCAACAATAACGAAGTAATCAGCAAGCCGGGACATGTTGGCGACGTTTGTAGTTTTGGTTTTCTGTTTTGGCTCATTTCAGCCGGTCATCCACCAGCTTCCGTATTCGATGCGGTTGCACCTGCTCTTAGCAAAGTGCAACAGTGTTGAGACGACCTAGACGTCGCCGTCAGCGTCGCTGCTGTCAACGTCACTATTTTTGTATTGGTACGTTTTCAGTTTTGTTTTGCCTTTCTATACAAGAAACTAGTTGGTTGATAACATTTTTGTTTTTGTAAGGTATTCTTTGTACTTTAGTTTTTTACATACAAATATGTACAGATATTCTGCACACATTAGCACTTAATAAAAAAATGGTGATACGGCTTTCATTCGGCCGCGCAGTAACCCCTTTCACAATCAGTACGTTGCTTGCTTTTGTAAACGCTGCAGTCACCAACCTCAGCCATAAAAATCGTATATCACCAAATTTGCATAAATTTCTCAATTAATTCGTTCACGTTTCGAATAAATTAATTTACAATATGTTTTGTGCCCATCCGATTTCTCCATACACAATTATAATGGCCGCATCAGCTTTATAAAATCATTGTTATTGGTAAATGTATTTTATACATTTTTAATAAATTTCATATCTTTTTTTGGATAATGGACCACTACACAACAACCACACCCTGTAGAATTTATGTTTTGTATCTTTTGACCGACCGACGGCTATGCGATCCAACGAGTAATCAGCGAGCTAGAAAGGTACATACACTCTGCTTTTCGCACATACGATACGCAAACAATTCAGTGCAAATATAATTATTTCTTAAAAATTCTATTATGTATAAACAATTTGGCGCGCACGTCCGTCCGCTTCACTTGACGCCACTGCACGCAAATTCCAAGATTTTTCACTTTTTAATGTTTACACGGCACAGACACCATCAACGTTCAAATAATTATTTAGCTTTTTCCAAACGCCAGTCAACTACACCCACGGAGACAGCTGGAAAATGAATTAACAATTCCAAAAGAAAATAAAAAGCTGCCAATTGGGTGTCGTATACAATGTTGCCATAGAGAGGAAATGTCAAATCCATGTGGTTTGTGTCTCCGAATACCCTTAGAATAGCTACTTCGCTTGAATTTGAGTTCAATAATTTATGTATGTATATTAATTCAACTCGGCAGAGAATGTTAAGCCATCAGTAGATCCCTCCATTGGAGCTTGGATAAAAATCAAATTTAAACTCAAATTTAAACTCTTTAACTAACTTAACAAATCACCACACAATTATTTAGCGGTGTGAAATTGCGAGATCTTGGAGGTCAAGCCACAGGCCCACAATGCAAGATAATGGGCTCACCAAGTTTTCTTCAGTAAAATGTACTGCATGTAGCGTCATTTGGCGCATTATCGGTTGCAAAACTCCAATAATTCAAACGTGGTGCGAAAGAGATCTATGCTTCCTCCAATTAACGACTCTGTTGGGCTATTACATACAATAGTTAGCGCTTTGTGAACGCTGAAGTGATTTTCGGCCGAGCTCCTTCTACAATTTGTGAATTTGCGTCTTGGTGTTTTTCCAACAACTGGGGAGACCTACAGTTTATACTAAGCCACCTTTTGTTTCATTAGTTTTTATTTAAATTATTATCATTTAATTAGTATTCTAAAACTTTTGGATGTTAGTACGAAACCAGGACACACTGATGGGCTTTTATGTCGACCAAATACATATTGGACGCGTACCGAACTATTATTTTGGAAATCAGTTTGCTTCATTTGCGAACGTTGGTCCGGAGTAAGTTTATTCATTATATAATGGCATTCCAAACTGAGTAACAGCTCTCAAAAAAAGACCATAACACCAAAAGAAGTATTGTCTAATTGAAATCCTTTCCATTTAAGCAAATTATTTTCGAAATAAAAATATATATTTTTTTTTCTTTTTTTTCCTTTTTTTAGAAAATCTTTAATAACAAGGTATGTGGATATGATTTTTTTTTGCAATTGTTGCTTTAGGAAATTGTATCAATTCTCCAAATATTTTCCTTATTTGGAGAATGTATAAAACTTCCTAATGTAACGGAAAGATTACATATTTATATATAAAATATAATAAATTGTTTATCAGTATACCACAGAACGAAAAAAAACAAGCCGTGCTCAGTGCGACAAATTAAAAATTGAAATATAATGTATATGTACATATGGCTGTATGTTCATAGCAAAATAAGTTGTTTTAGAATTTCAAATCAGACGCAGGCACGCAGGCGCACACTCAACAAACAGTCCAAAGTAGCCATAAACGTATAGGAAATGCAACATAAACATAACCAATGAATCACCGCAACAATTCGGAGCATTTCATGATGCGGGCCTGTTCAAAAATTCATAAAATCAATAAAAATTGTACCGAAAAATTTTACATAATTTTTTATCAGGAATTTTATCTACCTTTAGAGTTTTCATTTGTTTACTGTGTGTTTTGGATATAGAGGGCGGCCTAGTTTCTCGACACGTTAACAGCCTGTAATAATATGAAATATACACACATACATATACTCGCACATATGCATAGTTATGTGTACTTATAAAAAAAAAAAATATAGAAAAAGCATTTACTTACTCCTCTACAACGTCTGAATAACTGTCTTCTACTTGACGGTATGTCTTCCTCCCACTTGCAGTATAGGGATTTCTGTGTGATTTTGGTTGTGCCTTCAAGCTGTCTAGATACTCCTTCGCCATTTCAATATCTCGCTCCAATTTGCTCACTATAAAAGAAAATTAAAAAAAAAATTTTCGTGTTGCAACTTGTCTACACGAAATCCATAATGTTATCTACATACATATGTACAATACTTACCCTTTTCTTTAAGCATTTCTTCGGAGTTACTGCAACAGAGCGCATTCTTGCATTGGCAACACTTGAAAGCGTCGCCATCTTTGAAACCCAACTCGGTAAGTATCATGTCCAATAAGCAGCCTGGATGAAGTTTGTCTGCGGCCATGAATATTTTTCTATGCATATAAGCTAAATCACGAAAGGCCATGCATTGTATGCCGTTATGCAGTAGTTTGTGGCAAAGTGCATAGAATTTACTTTTAGGCACGAGGCTTTTGCAGAAACAAAAACCACATTCCATCATAAATGCGTTCAATATTGCTCTCAACTCTTTTTCGAGCGCACTTCCAGCTCTTATATTTGTCATCATTGCATTTGCATTAGAGTCGATGAATCGTTCGAAAGCATCATCACCCGGCCCTTCAGCGCCCTTTCCTCGGCGGCTCCTTCCACCACCCCCACCAACAGCACTCAGATCACCTCTACGACTGGGTCCTCTGCCTCCAGCACCAGCTCCGCCTACTCCATCACCTTTTTCAGTTCTAACAGCGGCTCTACCCCTACCTGTTCCGCCCCCAACGCCAAGGCCATCTCCACCATCTGGGCGATCAGAATAGTCGTCACCCACACTACCTCTTTCTCCTGGTGTACCTCCTCGTCGCGGTCTTCCCGGGCTACTTTCAGATCTTATTCCCCCGGGACCAACTCGTTGGGCTCTATCGGGACCACCTTCAGCTTCAGGACCACCACTTCTACCTGCACCTGATCCTCCAAGTTCACTAGCATTCGGTCCACCACCTCTTCCATCATCTGGTCTACCCGGCTCACCAACACCAAGGCCACCTGCTCTGGTAGTATCAGGTCCACCAAATTGACCAGCACCAGGGCCTCCAACTTGCCCTGCACCAGGACCTACAGCTTGACTTGCGCCAGGACCTCCAGCTGGACCTGCACCAGGACCTCCAACTGGACCTGCACCAGGACCTCCAACTGGACCTGCACCAGGACCTCCAACTTTTTGTGCACCGGCACCTCCAACTTGACCTGCACCAGAACCTCCAACTTGTCCTGCGCCGGGACCTCCACCTTGGCCTGCACCGGGACCTCCACCTTGATCTGCACCGGGACCTCCAACTAGCCCTGCACCAGGACTTCCAACTTGACCTGCACCACGGCCTCCAACTTGTCCTGCCCCGGGAGCACCTGCTCTAGTTGCATCAGCATCGCTAACTTGTCCTGCGCCAGGACCACCTTCCCTAACAGCATCGGCTCTACCAGTTGGGCCAGCAGCAGGACCACCAGCTCTGGTAGCATCTGCATCACCCGTTCGAGCAGCATCGGTTTGACCTGTACCAGGACTACCAGATCTTGCAACATCAGGTCCACCAACGGGACCAGCTACTCTAGCAGCATCAGCACCACCAGCCTGGTCAGCACCAGGTCCTCCAGCGAGACCTCCTGCTCTTACAGCATCAGGGCCTCCAGCCTGGCCAGCAGCAGGGCCTCCAACCTGTCCAGCAGCAGGGCCTCCAGCAGGACCGCCTGCTTTAGCGGCGTCAGGAGCCCCTCTTCTACTAGCATCAGGACCTCCAGCTTCGCGTGCACCTGGTTCACCTGCTCTTGTCGCACCAGGGCCTTCAGCTTGGCCGGCACCAGGGCTACCTGCTCTAACGACATCAGTGTCACCAGCAGGATCTGGACCAACTCTTGTACCATCCGGTCCACCAGCAGGGCCGCCTACTCTAGCAGCGTTAGGACCATCAGCTTGACCTGTACCAGGACCTACAGCTTCAGGTGCACCAGGTCCACCCGCTCTTGCAGCATCAGGTCCTCTAACTTGACCTGCACCAGGGCCACCTTCTCTGACAGTGCTAGGACCCCCAGCTTTGACAGCATCAGTACCACCTGCTCTAGAAGTATCAGGGCCAACTGCTCCGGCAGTATCAGGGCCACCAGCTTGACTTGCACCAGGGCCACCTGTCCTACTGGCATCATGGCCACCAGCTGGACCGACAGTTCTTTCTACCCTAACTGCATCTGGTATTCCAACTTGATCCACACCAGTAAGGCCACTTCGAATAGCTAAGTCGACGCCAGGACTCCCCATCCTCAGTCCATCACCGGTCTCTTTTACGATGTCTTTCGCCGCTAAGTATGGATCAATGCCACGTTTTTCTAAAAGTTCCCTTAGAACATTATTTTCTTCTTGGCATTTCTTATTTCGGGCTTGTTCTTCCAGTAATTGCCTCCTTAGATCGTCAATTAATTTCTGATCATCCCGTGTAGTTAGAGCATTAACCGCATTTGTCAATTGCGCATTCTTTAACTGCATGTCGCTTATATCTCTCACCAATTTCATTGATTCCTTCAGGTCTTTTTCCATGTCAGCCGTTTCCAAAGCGGCTTTGCCAACATCGGTGCCCATTTTATCCACACGGTCTGAAAACTCATTCAGTTTATCCACAGTACGCATATTAAGAGCATCCTTATCGTGCTTCAAGTTGTTGTATTTTTCTTCCATTTCTGTCAATCTTTTCAACGCATCCGCACACATTTCTTCAGCAGCTTTTTTCAAATTATTTTGCAAATATTCATTTTGTTTTGACATTTGCTTTACCACTTCGTGTAAACGTCGTAGTTCTGTGCAACATTCCTCGGGACTAAGGCCATCCGTAATAGCAGAACCAGCGAAGAATCCACCACCGATTTTATCACCATCCCCGCCACGTTTCTTTATCTCCTTTTTGATTTCATCCAAAGTGGCACGAGCAAAGAAAGTCAAATCGTCCATATAATCCGTACAGGTCTGAGTTTGCGTGTCATGTAGATTTTGTATGGCATTTCCCTGCAGCTCGTCGATCACATTCTGTGCAATATGAAGTTCATGGAAAATATTGGAAATGACGAAGGAGAAAATAGCAATATAAATTTTATAAATGAGGTATTTGGGCTGCTTGCTCTACTCCTTAAAGTTTCTAAGCAAATACAAGCATACATTCGCAATCGTATATATGTATGTATGTATGTATGTTATATGAGACTATTGTTAAACTTCATATATCTGTGTCCTGTTCTTTTGCCTTCATAATTTCTAAATCATCTGAATTACAGAACATTCTCTTCCTTTTGCAACTATCTGTTTTCACCTCCGCTTCTGTATCCGAGTCTGCTGGCCATGAATTTTGATCAATATGTACGCAGGAAGCGCAAACTTTTCGAAATCGTACTCTTTTTCTGTTGCACTTCATACCCAATTCTACAAACTGCCGCTGTAAATATGTAGTGCCAGATTAAGTCCCGTGCAAATAAATATTTTCATATTTTTCATATGTAGCTGTTATGGATGGGTGGAGAGTACTAAGGTGTGGTCTACGATATGTTAGCTAACACTTTTGAGATGCATGTCGGATCCAGAGCCAGCCATGAATAAGCACTTCAAACGGTATAATGAGTGATCTAAGATTTATATATATTATTTAAATTTATCCACATACGAACTATTTTACTGAACCGCGTACGAGAAAAACTTTTCCTGGGCATGCTAAAGAGGCATGGAAATTTAAGTTCCAATAAGTGTGAGTGACACTCTTCGGGAACTGCAGTTATGTATCATACTTTTCTTTGCAATTAAACGAGCAATACATATACATACGTACTATATAGCGAGCGAGGACAACGCAAAATATCTGCTGTCGTCGAACAAACAGTCATCGCATAACTTCGAAGTCATAGATCAGTGCTGGACACTTAGCCACTTGGGGCCAAGCGACAAATTTCAGTGACCAACGAGAAGGCTTTAATATTTTTCAAATAATGATTCTGAAGTTGGTCTCATTTAAAAACCAAATTAACGAAAATGATTTTACTTGCTTCCCAGTGTTAGACACAAATCAATATAATGAAGAATTTGAGGTTAGGTTACGATACGAACATTTTCATTTAATATATTGATATTTTGTTTAACGCGTTCGATTCACGATTTGAACATTTCCAAAAGTTTCAATTGGCATTCAAATTTCTCAAAAACTCATTCTTTTGTGACCCAAATAATATTCAAAAATTATCAAATTTTTTCAGTTGATAAATGGAGAAAGTGCCTTGCCAAATGACCCGGGCGATGCATTGCGGAGGCCTTTGCTATCTGAATGTAATTTCTTGACACTCAAGGACATTGTACCAAAGTTTTTATGCATGTTTGGTTCCACATACGATTGTGAAGCATCATTCTCAAGACTCGAACGACGTAAAAATATATACCGCAACAAAATTTGGAATTCAAACTTCGTTGCGAAGTAGTCCAATCGAAGCCAGACTTTGATAAATTGACAGAAAGAAAAGACTACAATCATTGTTTCGGTTAATTTTAGCTCATAGAAAATAGAAAACTGTCATGCGTCGCATTACAATCGAAAAAAAAAATGAAAAAGCGGAATTTCGACTGGTTTTCACTGTTTTTCATAGGTTTTGGAAAAAGTGGGCATTGAATAGATCTGTCAAAAAAAAGTTTGGAAACCACTGTCGTAGATAATTTTGCCTATCAGAATCACACTTGCCAACAGATGCTACATTAGACTGATGGGTTTTTAAGAGGTGCTTTATTTCATGTTTAGATTAATTTTTTTATTTAAATTAATTTTCCATAACTTTTTAGATGTTAGTACCACACCAGGATTTGAACCCAAGCCTTCCGAATGGCAGTATGCAATGCGAACCACTCGACTACCGCGGTCGCCTATCGCAATGTTAATTAGACCATATATTTTGTATGGATTTTGGTTAGTTTTGGAGTACGCTATTCTCCTCATGGAGTATACATATATTTCACGCGTGCATTAAGCTCTCGCGTTTTTCGCAAGGAATTGGCAAGCTCATGCACAAATACACATGTGTGTCAAAGATAACCTCTGATTGATGCCAAATCTGTTCCGAGGAGTCTGTCTGTTAGAATATCGTAAAATTAAACAAACTGATGATCGACTGTCTTGACCCCTGTCTTGATCCCAAAAAAAAGTGCGTAATCACATTTAGCTCTAAAACAGAAGAGCTGAAGATTTGCCCGTCAATTGTCATAACATAAATCAAAATAAGGATATAAAAAGAAAGTATGGGTTTTCTTATTGTGAGCACTGATATCTGAATGGAAACGAGTGGATGAAATCTATTTTGAGGAGGTTTAAGCATTAAATTGCTGTAAATATTCCTTGCAGATAGACATACAAACAAAAGTTTTTATATTTATTTTATTTATATATTTAGGGTTATCCATTTCGTGGTTTCATAGCGCTGTAGTTTTTCATCTGTCAAATTTAACTGTCAAACCAAACATGTTTCTCTAGTTAAAAACTAACGCATCTTTGGAAAAGGATCGCTCTTTAACTCTTGAGCAATTGAAAACCAACATTCAAGTCAAGTTGTGGCTGAGATATAGCCCAATATTTTCTAAAAAGTGGTACAAAATAACCCTAAACGGCTCAAAAATTCGCGAGACGGTCATTTGAATGATGTATTGTTTCACATACATATAGAAAAAAGTTCATGAAAATAACTATACTTTTTATTTACGTTTAGAAATTAATTTATTTCAAATTGTATGTCTAAAGGACTAATTTCAAAAGCAGCCACACGTAGCATGAAAAATTTCATGCTGATTGAATTCCAGTTTCTGGAAATTAGTTTTCATTAGTTCTTTCGAGTGCACATGAAATCCTCGTTTCTTACAAATGGCTACCATGTGCTCGGTGTAGGATGTTAAGACCCTCACAACAAATTGGAGAAGAGTCCCTATCCAAGTAGTTATGAAACGCTGGAATTATTTTCGGTGTGTGCATACAAGAAAATTGAAAGAAAACTTGTTTTAGAGGTAAAGTAAAAGGTCATCCATTATTTTTTCAATGGATGGATACAGTAATCTGTATCTTCCGTTCTATAAGTGCAATTGAATTACACTAGTGAGTTAGCTTACTACAATAGAAAGAGAAATGTTGATCACTTAACTTAGTAGTGTTTGAGCGCACGACAAAGAGGGACACCAGCAAAGAGAATATACGCTACATTCTAAAAATCTTTTCGATAAAGGTTAAACCGCTTGTCAGACAACTACAAATATGACTGAAGTTCATGGTACTGATGATGTAAGAGTCAGTCATGCACAATTTTTGTTTCGTCGATTTCGTTCCGATTATTTTGTGGTAAAAGGTGTTGCACGGTATGCAAGGCCAATAGTCGAAAATCTCGATGATATAAAAGAAATGTTTGGATCTAATCGTCATGCGAGTACTACTTCGATTGCTCAGGAACTAAAAATTGTGGAAAACACGATTTGAAACGACTTGATACACAAAGAAGCACAATGTATGGCGGCCACATGACTTATGCACCAACTACCTTATATATAGTCCGGAGTAATTATCATTTGTTCCTGTTTAAGTCGAATGAGTGCGCTAGTGAAGAATTGACCTCAAGAGAAGTCTATAAAAATAGATTGTCCATCCAAATGGCGAGAAGTTATCGAGCAAAATGGTGCATATTTGGCATTAACAGGCCTATTCTCATCACTGTTACCGGTACTTTAACACCCGAAATGGAATTTGGTATTCTGGCGAACTGGTTACAATGTTTGAAAAAAATTCGGCAGCACTGTTTTATTCGTCCATGTCAAATTACATTTGCCAGTTGATAAAGTAAAAAGAAAAATATTCACATCGAAATGGAAGACGGTGCACAAAAAAATTAAAAAGTTTTATTAAATCATAAATATTTCAATCCAATTATGGAAAATGTGCCTGGACAACAAAAAAAGCTAAATGAAAACGTTATCTTACAAATTAATTAAAATTATTTTTTAGTCTCAAAAACTTCTTAAAATACGGCTTTTTGCACTTTTTTCTTCATTTTCAATGAATTCCAGGCCTAAAGGATGCCTACCCATTTTGGTTTTTTTTTATTTTTCCTCAAACTTACAATACAAAATCAAACAGCAGATATTTTTGTTACCTCGTATTTCGCTGATAACAAAATTTACAGGGTAGCAGTGAGCTCAGAATACGAAATAGTAACAAAATTTACTGAATGGAAAATTTTAACACCAAAGTAAATTTTGTTACCTCGACAGAATAGGCCTGTAATTGGATAATAGTAACTATGGTAGTAAAAACAATGGAAGACTTTTTACTTTACCTAATATTAAATTTTTTTTTTTTTTTTTTTTTTTTTTTTTTTTTGTAAATATCCGGAATTAAAAATCTTAATTTTTTTATATATTTCTTTTCAACAATCGATTTATTCAACTTCACAAAAATTTCATAAATTATTAACAGCAACAGTTACAGTACAAATTCTTCTGAAACACATATATATAAAAAGAAGTACATAACGAAATTCGTATGTATATACTTTTAAAGCAGTAGTATGCAGATTTGGGCATAAATACACAGTTTTTATCCGTAGAATATTAGATGATCATAAGGCTACAGTCAGTTGTCGGAAAAACAATTGTCATTATCATGGCCAGCATCTGGGTTTCGATTGCACATACAATAGCCACTATTTCTAAATTTTTGGGCCTTGTACTATGAAATCGAAAAGAAACGAAAATACATTTTTAGAACTCACTTATTTTAGTACATATCTAATGCTTTAGTCAAAACTATATGAAAACAAAACAGAACATAAAACAAGCAAATAAGACTAAGCTCGAGTGAATCCGAACATTATATGTATGTACGAGTATATCCGACTACTTTAACTACACGACGATTAGGGATGGATTAAAAGGGTTATTATTTAATTTCAAATAAATTCAGCATTTTGAAAATTTTGTTCATCATTTGTGAGGAGGGTAATTTGTTGGTCATATACTTCCTAGGATTTTGCTACCTAGATTAGTCGAGTTCTTGCTATTATAATAGTCAGGTGAGGAGTCCCAAGTAAGAGTCTTGTGAATGATAGGTCTTTTTGCCTACCGTTCTCTTGGAAGCGGCCAAAAAATGATTGTTTGCATTTGATTTAAGTAGCTCACGACTTCCGATCTTGGATTCGTCATCAACAAACATACGTTTCGAAGTGAGAAGTACTACCCAAATGTTTGATGGTCTTACCATGGGCCATGGACGGGACAAGTACGAAGGTAGGTGAGTCCTTGTGAAATATTCTACAGTGGTCATATGAAGGAACGCAAATTTGTAGTTGGTTTTGTGTAGCCTCAATCCGCATCAAAGCGAAATTTCCGACTTAAGAGGCTTTCTAGAAGCGGTCATATTGTGATTGATACCGAGAACTAACAAAAAAGAAGGATGCCGAAATGCATGTGTATAATATGCTTGAGAAGCTGACCCACAAGGTTAATTCTCGAAAATTCCATAAAACGTTGCGTCGACTCTCTGAGGGTTTCAAGACCGTAACATATGACTAAATAGGAACCAAGGAGGTAATATGGTAATTAGTTTCCAAAGCATTTTCGGTGTATGAATGAAACATTTCTCCAACTTGCTGAGTGGCAGTAAATGCGCAACACCCCGCAATGTTAAACGCAGAAAAGACAAGGATCGAAGACCCATTACTCGATTAAAGAACAACAAAGCGGCTGAAGCTCAGGGTTTACCAGCAGAGCTATTCAAACATGGCGGCGAGGAGTAAAGCAAGAGCGACAATTGGAACATAAGTATGTTTTGCTCAATTCATAAAAAGCGGGAAAACACAGTCTGTGCCAATTCCCATGGGATTAGTCTCCTAAATATCGCATATAAGACCCTAATGAGCGTATTGTGTGGAAGCCCACCGTCATCAAAATAATTGGACAGCAACAGTCTGGCTTTAGACTTGGTAAATCCACTATCTACTAGATATTCATCATGCGATAAGTCTAGGAAAAGAGCACAGGCACACACCACCTCTTCGTCGATTGTAAATCAGCCTACGACAGCACGAAAAGTAGCTAACTTGATATATCTGCAAAACTAATACGGCACAAACAAACTGACACTGGATATTACCAGAAGAGTAGTTAGAATAGGGAAGTACCTCTCCGAGCCGTTGACATGATATCATAGGCCTTAACAATTACGCCATTAGTTCTGCTTGATAAGGAAGCGAAGATTACTGGTTCGGTAGTGAACGAGGGCAAAACGAAATATCTTCTGTCATCAAACAAATAGTCATCGCATTCGCGACTCGGCTCGCATGCCACTTTTGACAGCCATAACTTTGAAGTCGTAGATAATTACGTCTATTTTGAAACTAATATTAACACCAACATCAATGTTAGCCTGGAAATCTAGTACAAAATCACTTGTGACGGTAGGTGCCACAATTCGCTCCCCATTTCCGTCCTACTATATGAGCAAGAGACGCTGCCCGAGTATTCGATGTAGTAGCCGATGGTTGAAGCAGAGGAAGGGGAAGAATTCTAACCCGTTCTAAAGATCGGGTGGAGATATCTTTTTCTTTTCCACAGCGGGTTTTGTTTCGAAAACTTTCAGAGCTGGAGTGTTTTCTATCATCCGATTGACATGATCTAGAAAGCATAGCTTCTGTCCCTTAATTCGCTTTACTATATCGACTTCATTAAATCTTTCTTAAGATTGCTGCGAGTACCGACTCATCGATCTAAAGTGAAAGAGCGCTGATTGTTTGTTTAGTGACAGTAGTCGCTTTTTACCAGTTGTTTCGATACCTTGACAAGTATGAGAAAGCAGAACTAACGTCTACACCTCATACAATATTAATTACTCCAGCATTTAAAGATATCACATAAAAAATAGACACTTGGTCTGAAACCTCGTTTGGTATCGTACTGCTTTAAAAGGTTATTCCCATTCTCAGTCATAGTATAAGTTTCGCGGGTAGACCAAATTCAGGATAGGAACGTACATACATTATATTGCGTGTTGTCTAATGCGACTTCAAAATCGTCGAAAAATTGGTGCGTGTTCGATTCCTTCTTTTCACACTGTCAAGGTTCGGAAAGCTTATTAACCATGGACTCTCTTTAACATCTATTTGAAATATTAGCTACTAAACAGACGGACATATATGTATTTAAAATCTTTGTTGTCTTGTCATTTGATAAATATCGATAAGCATGTTCGACTATCTGTATGCCGATAACTATCTCGATTATGTTTTGCGGTAACAGACATACGTTCGGTTTGAAAAAAAGACCCCCTTTGGACGGTGCAGCCGGGTATAATTAAAATGTGCAAAACTAAAACTACAAAAAATATTAGCAGCAACTTACCATCAATTGCTTGTACTGACAGTCATAATCGCTTAGCGCAAGATCACGTCGCATGAGTTCATTCCGCAAGGTAGCAATTTCCATCTGCAGACATTCGGCTTTTTGTGCACAACATCTGGCCCGAATTAAATCCTCCTTCATCTCCTCCAATTGACACTGTGATTGTATAGGAGATAAAGAAGAGTTACATAGAATAAGAGCTATACTCGTACATTTCAGGAAGGAAAAATAAAGTTAAGAGGTAATTAGCAGTGCAAGATCGCACGCGCTGCGAATATACAATTGACAGACTACTGTCTTAAGCTCAATGTTCTGAGTATGTCTTTCGGTAGCCTGCTCACCCACACAATACCGTATTGCTGGCTAAGTTATAGAACAACCACAAACTCATTTTAACCTCTAGCAGGCATCGTCGTCTCCACGTCTGATGAGGAGGCTGAACTTCATCTCAAAAACCCTTGGTGTTAAGGTAAATAAGGCATCCTCAAGCCCAACAAAGCCAGAAAAATCAATAAATGACGGTAACAATATCGATATATAGATCCTTAGAGCAACACACTGTAGAGTATCCCTATTGTCTAACCAAGGACTACACTCCTAATAAAAATTCTGGAATTTTCCCAGTAACAACAAAACCAGCAGTATTATCAAATAACCACTTAACCCTCCTTAAAGCACTTACCTTTAGCAGTTCTTCGTTGAATTTCAACTTTCCCATTTGGTCTTCATAATATTCTTGCATGTCTTTCATCTCATTCTCCATATTATGAATATACTTAGATTGCTTATCCAAATCGTCCGACAAATTATCAGACATTTTATCTGCCTCCTTGGCTATCTTCTGCAACTCGTGTACCTTCGTTTCGAGATCTTTGAAAGTCTTGCATTTCTCCCGCAATGCATTACGCTCCTTAATAATCGCCTTAAGATTATCAGCGTCCTGATCAGTCATTTTATTCCGATTGGTATCCCTTGTACTCTTCAATTTCTCATCTTCAAATTTACGCAAAATGGAGACTTCTTTGCGCAATTTGTTCACTTCGTTCTGTAGGAATCCAACATCGTTGCTCTTTTCCGGCTCCATTTTAAGTGTTTCGAAGTTGGCGCGATACGATAATTTCTCCATCAAACGTTTCAGATAGACATTCTCAGCTTGTAATATTTCATAGGCCTTACTCATATCCTCGAATTTATTATAGATTTGTATGAGCTCATTTTCCTCACCCTTATTGATTTTGCCACTAGAGGTCAGCTTTTGTATTTTATTGTGGAAGTCTTTCGAATGATTGCTATCAAATTTACTACTCATTATGGCTTTAATCTTGTCGTTTTCCAAGCTTGCTACTCTTAAGCGTTCATTCGACACTTCCAATTGCTTTTCAAGATTCTTCTTGTGTAATAACAGATCTTCCATACGACCCATTTGTTCAGTGGCACATGCAAGAACACTGTCAGCTGTAACGAGACCGGCTTTACCGCCTCTACCATCAGCACCGCCTGGACCAGCACCACCTCGACCACCTCCTGGACCGCCACCAGAACCGCCCCCGGGACCACCGCTCAAACCCGCACCCTGATCATCACTCATAGCCATTCCACTGGTATAACCCTTTTCAGTAAAATCAGCTCCGCGCTTCATACGCCTACCTGGCCCACCACCAAGACGACCTGCACCAGTACCGCGGCGTCGAGCTCGACTTGTACCAACGGATTCTGTATCATTACTATCGTCCTCATCCTCGTCATTGCCATCACCAAATCCACCGACCTGAAAAAGAAGAGATTATATTTTAATTGATGCAATTAACCGAAATTACGAGCGATTCTCATCTACTAAAGGAGTACTTGACCGTTACAAGCACAAATGATATGAAGAAAACAAATATTTTTCAACTCTATTTGGGCGATCTATAAAGTAAATTTATTAAAAATACTGTTAATACATGAATGTAAAAATATCTACAAAAATGTATAGCTATTGTGGAACTCGATTGTTTATTACGGTTATTCTGTGAGATTTTATTTGAAATTTGACATACCGGCGTTTGACAGGTGATCAAATCTGAAAGGAATCTCGATTGCAGCGACTCGTCCATGGCCCATGAGCGATCATCGATGGTCGACTGATAGGTCTTTAGCTTGACGCAAGCCTTGAGGCACTCATAGTCGACCGTCTCGTTCATGAAAGGTACATGGAAGAATTCTTTTTGGGTTGAGTATGCCATTTTTGTTTGTTGACGGGAAGTCTCCTCTTGCTATTTTAGAAATTCTAATAACGATATTAGGGTTTTTAAAATGCTTGGGGCCGAGGAATGTAGTTATATTTGCACAATGCTCGAATCTGGTTGCTCCTTTGCTCCTTTGCCGGCAGTTTTGAAACTCAGTTTTTGATCTTCTTCTTCTTGTTTTTGTGTTTTTAGCTCGTTTGTTTTATTTTTTGTCTTAGTTAGTTGTTGTTTTTTTATTTGTACGTATACTATATCGTATTTCTTTACAAAAATCGTTTTAATCGTAGTTGTTCTTGCTTTTATTAAAAAAAAAAAAAAATAGTGCGTGGTTGTGTGCGTAGTTTTGGAATTGCAAGCTTTTTTCACAAAAAAAACATATAACGGCTTCTATTATGATAGTTGGTATTCTGTTATTCGTTTTATTAATTAACAATAGTACAAAAATACTAATTAATTATTAAAAAACTTGAAATTTATTTGTTGTAATCTGTTTTTTTGAACGAAAATCTAATTTGAAAGCTGCTTTTTCGCCCGAGTTTCCTATATTTTCCAAGAAATGTTTTCACTGATTGATTTCGAACGAGCCACTAAGTTTTCTCTTTTCGATTCTTGATCTCTACAGTTCTTTTTCTACTATTTGTTCCACACAGTGCTCAGCATTGCAGTTGGAAATAAAGAAATCAATATTTTTTCGAACATGATTGCCCATTTTTGTTTTTAATATTACAATTTCCTTATTTCCTTATGGGTTTCACAAGGTTCTCAAGGTCGAATAATTCCTTAATAAGAATATTAACATCTCCATAAAAGCATCAAAAAAGATATGGCTTGCAGTAGAATGAGCGATGAAGAGAAAGGGACGCTTTTCGTCAGTTTCTTATATTATATATGCATACATCTTCTTCTTCTTCTTCATTGGGTAGGCACCAATTGGCTGAATCTCTTGGGAATACCAAGGCAAACCTGATCCTGATGCGTCGAGAGAGGACTTAACTTTTCAATTGGCTACCCAGTCCAAACTAGTATCTGTTGGCAAGAATAATACTATGTTAGGTTTCAAGGCTGTGGTTGTTGTTGGTGCTAATACCGGTTCCAATATAGACGAAATAGTCTATGAACTCGAAGTTGTAACTGTCAAGAGTGACATGGGAACCGAGCCGTGAATGCGATGACGTGTTTGTTTGATGCCAGGAGATAATTCGTCTTGCCCTCGTACACTACCAGACCCATTCGCTTCGATTTCTTACCAAACCTGGCACGATTGTTAAAGCCCAGAGGCGATGTCATCAGCATGCGCCAGCAGTTGTAGAAGTTTGTCCATTGTCTATTTAGCTCTTAGGTCTTATTATTTTCCTTAGCATCAAATAGAAAAAATCTCACGAAAAAACCGGCTGAGCTATTTAAACATGGAGGTGAAGACCTGTTAATGTACATACATTTACTTACTTTGTAGAATATGGTCGGACAAAAGCTCACTCGACAATTGGAGTTTAAGTGTGCTCTGCCCATTCCATAAAATAGGGGGCCATGCCATGAGGTTATCGAGCGTGTCGTGTGAAAGATTAAAACTCACCGTCAACAAACTGATTGTATTTTGTCAGTGTGGGTTGACACCTGATAAATCGACGATGCAACAGATATTCATCATGCGTCAAAAAGGACGACACACACCCTCTCTTTGTCAATTTTAAAACCGCCTCCGACAGCACGAAAAGTACCTGCATCAATGCCTTAATTCGTTATCCCCGAAAAACTTATACGGCTATGGAAACTGACCTTAAGCAACAACAAAACCTCCGTCAGGATCGGGATGGACCTCTCCGAGCCGTTCGATATCAAACCAGGTTTCAGAAAGGGTGATTCCGTATCGTGTTACTTTTTTAATTTATTGCTGGAGAAAAGAATAAGAGCTGCAGAGCTGAATAGAGAAGCATTAACACCAACAACAATGCCAGCTTTGAAATCCAACGAAGAATCGCTCTTCCCACGAGTAGCCATTTGAAATGTAAAGTTCTCTCTTACGTAAGATTTATATCCTTTACGAGTTGGTAACGTCGTATACCGCAGCCGATGGAACAAAGAGTTGTACAAGATATTTCGCACACTTTATCATAGTTCAGCAAATCAAAAGACAGTGGCTACTAAGATCTGATTATTGACTAGTCATTTTGACTGAGCCTACTAAACAGTTCATTTTTTGAGCCTATTCATAGATGAACTTGATTTAAACAAACAAAAACATGCTTGTTGCTAAGTGTGGATAACACACTACTACTAAAACAACAATAAGAACAGAGATTGGATACTGCAACAGCTTTTTATCGAAAATATTTAACATCATCTCCCTATTTTTTTTAGTAAAAACAGCATGTGATTTAATTTATTTTCTATGGAATTTGTTTTGCAACATATCCAAAAATATATTAATGTTTTGACGTTATCAGTGCAATACGGTTATATATATATGCTTATAGTTTTGGCTTATGCTCTTCCGATTAAAAATAACATTTTCATACATAAATACTCGTAATATATGTAACATATTCATATATATAATTATTATTATTATATATATATATATATATATATATATATATATATGCATACGACAATTTCATATAACATTAATAACTCAAACATACGATAACCAACTTGACCAAACCCTTACGACAAGGTAAACGAAGTGTCAGTCTCTTTTATCATATCCTCAAGACGTACACCGATGCGCTTGCGAGGTATATCAATTTGTATAATAGAAACAGTTACACGATCACCTACGCTCAGCTCTGTATTCTTCATTTTACTTATATGAAGAAGAGCGTTACATTCGACGCCAATATCAATGAAAGCACCAAAATGTGTTATGTTTGTAACAGCGCCTGGAATATAAAAGAAAGTTTCGTTAATTGAGATTTGATATCCGAAGAAAAGAGTGTTGATCTGATTTATTACCAGTCATAACGTCGCCCTCATTAAGCTCGGTGAGACGCGTTATTCCCTGTTTGAATAATGGACGTTTAGCAAACTCTGCACGATAATCTTGAGTGAGTTCACGTTGTAAAGCCATCAACACAATATCAAGCTGAATATTTTAAATTAAATAAGGGAAACAGGCATAATAAATTAGTAAATAATAAAGTTAAAGAAAGGCATATGTACATTTGTTTAAAAATCATACTCACACGCTCTTTGGGTATTTGAAAATCTTCCGCCAAATCATCCATATCACATTGTAATGAAAATGCTTTGACTTTAGCAATAAAAGCATTACTTCCAATGTCTTTAAGCAACAATTTGCATTTGCTTATGATTCTATCAAAAGTTAAATGATTAGTTTGTTTATTTATCAAAATATTTCACTATAAATTCTAAAAATGTTTATAACTTACTTTTTAGCTACTGCATAACTCTCCGGATGCACCCAAGTGCAATCAAGCAGATTTTCTATTTTACCGCCAACACTCAAGGGTTCAATTCGTATAAAGCTGATTAAACAACAATTTTTTTAAATTATTCAACTGGTATTTTAAATTCAAAAGCACTAATATTAGCCAGTCCAATTTCAAACTTAGTTTCTTACTTACCCTGCACATTGTACAAATGTCTTTTCGCCAATTGACTTTACTTTTAGTAGATCTTTGCGCGTTTGAAATGGCCCACTGCTTAAGCGATGTTCTATTATTTTTTGTGCTTTCTTCTCGCTCAAACCAGCTACATGTCTAAAATGATGAAAACAATACATTCTACATCTTTAAAGCAAATTATATTTACTTACTTTAAAACACTTAAACTAGCCGTATTTATGTCCACGCCGACAAAACTCACACATTCAGAAACCACTTCATTCAACGCTTCATTTAGAGTCTTTTCCGGCACATCGTGTTGGTACATGCCAACACCAATATGACGTGGTTCGATTTTCACATATTCACTTAGCGGATCATTTAAACGGCGCGCAATAGAAACTATAGAAAAAATTTTGGAAATAGAAATTAGCAAATAATTTTAACTTTCATATTTTTATTTATTACCAGCACTTATCTCATTCATATCCATATTGGGAAACTCCTTACGCGCCACCTCACTACATGAATATATTGAGGCACCCTGTTCCGAGACAATGCTATAACGTATAGTATTTTTATCTAAAATATCCCAATCGAATAAATTCGACAGCCAAAATTCGGTTTCACGACAGGCCGTGCCATTGCCTAAAGCAATTATTTTGCAGCTATTGGTTGCGGGATAAATTTTTTAATTATAAATAATGTAATTATATGTATTATAAAAATGTACGTCTGTGTTCATAAGCCATAACCGCTTGAGTCTGTTCAGTTCCCTATTTTCCATACAAAGAGTTTTAGATTTTTTTTTTGTATAACATAAGTGAAATTATATACTCGCATTTTTAAGAGCTTTTAAAATATTATTCAAATTATATAAACTTCAATTTCTTAATCAAAACTCACTTGTGCCGCACCAGCATTTTTGCCAATTGTTCGCCCACCTCTTCAACATTGCTACTACGCGCATGCGGATATATCACACCGGTTTCTAAAACATCTGCCGTCTCTGAGATCAGCGCCAATTTGCAGCCATTCGTAAAACCAGGATCAATACCAAGTATACGTTCACCTTTGAGAGGAGATTGGAGCAGTAATTGCTTTAAGTTTTGTGCAAAAACATCGATGGCCGCCTTTTTTGCAGATTCATTTAAATCGCTACGCAATTGCCGTGATAATAAAGGTTGTACTATAATATATATGTAAACAATAAAAATATGTATAAGTCGATATTTCTAAAACAAGTAAACATATTTGAATTCCTATTCTAAATCTTAGAAGCTACGTTCACGTACATTTTTTGCTATAGCATTCCTCAAATGCCTGTTCAAACACCTGGTTTCGTAAGGGATAACGAAGACCTTCGTTCATAAATAATTCGCGTGTAAAACGTTTTATGTCATTCTTTACGTAATCGGCGGTGATGATTTTTACTGAGAGGAATTTTTGTTTTTCAGCCCGATTAATAGCAAGCACTTGATGTGGTTTTAAATACCGTACATCCTGCTGGAAGTCGTAGTAGGTTTCATATTTCGAAGCATCTGTTTTGTTTTTCGAATGTATAGAATTATCATTGTTATTTGTTTTAGGTTTTAAAGAGTTTGACGCTTTTGTCCCACTTGATGGGGCTGGTGTTTTGGATTTGGTGCACTTGAGCACAATGCGATGAACTTTTTGCCTAAAAAAAGAATAATCAAGAGCTTATGCCACAGGATACAAATATGTTTACTTACAACCGTCGCAACTCTTCCAAAACACCTGTGTGTTTACTAATATTGTGCGATATAATGTGGCAAATTCCCTGCAGTACCTTTTCAACATTTTCCAAATCAATATTGTTCCGATCTACTAGCGATTCCAAACGCACTTCCGGTGCTTCACCAAAGAGTAAACGATCTGCTGCATCACCCAAGCCCAGTGCTTTGGCGCGTTCCGCCAATGACCCTTTACTAGCTGGTTTATATGGTGCATACTAAAACGAGATTTTATTTGAATAATATAATATGTAGGTACATACAGAGCAAATATTCACTTACCAAAAACTCCAATTCCTCATTACTTTTGGCACACAAAATCTCAGTACGAACTTCTTCGTCAATCTGTTGTTCTTTCGCCAATTGTGTAACAATAGTCTCGGCACGTTTACGAAGCTCTACAATTTCCGTATATGAGTTCTTTATATCACGTAATCGCTCAGGTGTTATGTGATTGATTAAATCTCGACGGTAACGACAGATAAAAGGTATAGTATTTTCATTCTCAAGCAATTGTACAATGTTCTTGGCAGTGCCGGGCTCAACATTCTCTTTTTCTGCAAGCAATTCATCAACTCGCCATACTTTTCGACGAGCTACAACAAAAAAAAAATTAAATAAAATACTAGTAATTATAATTTTCAAAAAATTTATGTTATGTTTTGTTTTACTTACCCCAAAATGAACTGCGACCCGTATATGTAGTAGAGCTACGTGGTGGAATATCCTTAGCTGCATTGGAAATGCATTGACCATCTGTTGTCTCATGAGTGTCAGTTTGTTGTTCAGCTACTAATTCCACTTGCTCGTCTGCAATTGTTTCGGCCGATTCCTGTACCACTTCCACATTAACTGGTTTATCTTGCTTTTTCTTAGATTTCGTAGTTGATTTGCTATCCTTTTTTGCACGTTTTTCAGGCGCTGCTGTGGCCTGACTTTTGTTACTTTTTTCTGTGGGCCAGCGTTTTCTAACACCGGAGAAATATTCATAAAATAAAATTCATTAATTATTAAACACTCTTTTACTAATATATGTGTATGTACTTAGCAACTGCACTGGAGCTACTGGTAGCTGCTCTTTCTGATAACTTCCGTGCTGCAGAATCTATACGTGTTGACTTTGTCGGCGGTGGTGAAAAAGAACTATCACGTCGTCTTCTCTTATTTTTAGAAACGGAATTATCATCTTCAGAGTCAGAAATCTCAATTATCTGAGCAGTTCTAGTGGCAGCTTGACGCCTTGGACGACCCGCCATATTCAAATGAAAAACTGCAGTTAATTCCAAAAGTGACTCAAACAAAGAATTACTTGTACAAAAAATAATTAATGATTTTAAACTCGTAACTAATTATTACTAAATTTTATGAAATTTCACTCAATCAAAAATTGTATAGAAACCGGCACGCAGGTAAAAAGTTAATTCTGAATAAAAACATGAAAATTGTATATTCTCAAATTTAAAATGAACGTTCAGTAGCAGCTGGCAATATAATGCAGGGATAGATACTAACGACATTCAGTTATCGAATTTTTGGACGGATAAGTTCCTCATGGCGAATTCTATCTGATTATGAAGCCAATTGTTTAACCACTTTATTAAATTAAATTCAAGAGTGTTTCAACTAATAATTTTAACCTTTTTTATGCATAAATGGAACACTTTTCATTGGCTTGTACAAATCTACGTCGTTTGTGCGCTCTAAACCGAAATTACTATCCTTCAAAACGATTTGTTTACTTTTAAATTTAAACAGCTGTTGATTCGGCGAATTTAACAGCCGCTATTTAGGTATCAGCTGTTGCGTTCCCAATTGTTGCAGGTTATTATCTCACCTGGCTTAGTTAGTGTCTTTTTGGTAACTAAAATTAGCAAATAAAATAAATGACATTAGTTCGTAGCCTTTCTTTGCTGCGAAGCAAAAACTTCCAAACACGCTTACAAAGGTTTTATGGTAATGTGAAGTTGAGAAACATTGGTATATTGGCACATATTGATGCAGGTGGGTAATACATATTTACACAATAAATATTTACACAATATTTTTAATAAGTCATTTAGGTAAAACAACTACGACGGAGCGCATGCTCTTCTACGCCGGAAAGACACGTACGATGGGTGAAGTGCACCGTGGAAATACGGTGACAGATTACCTAACGCAGGAGCGCGAACGGGGTATAACAATATGTAGTTCAGCAGTAGCTTTTAATTGGCGTGATCATAAGTGGGTAGATGTAAGGAAGTTATTAAGTGGCTGTTGTTAGATCACTACTCCATTTCTAGAATAAACCTGTTGGATACACCGGGCCACATAGATTTCACTATGGAAGTGGAGCAGTCATTGCATGCAGTGGATGGTGTTGTTGTTGTTTTAGATGGTACAGCAGGCGTTGAAGCCCAAACAATCACTGTTTGGAGCCAAGCCGAGAAACATCGTTTGCCAAAGCTGGTGTTTGTAAACAAAATGGATCGTCCTGATGCAGACTTTGCGTCCTGTGTAAGTGATCTGTTGCAGAAATTAAATACAAAACCAATCTGCTTACAAATACCTGTAAAAGATTCCGATGGCAATTTGAGTAAGTACATATGTATATATATGCTGCTAAAATTTAAATTATACAATATTATCCATTGAGTAAGCATAATTGATGAATTTTATATATCTCAGCCATTTTAGACGTAATTTCACAACAAGCAATTATTTGGAACAACGCAAGTTTGGGCCGCGAATACAAAATTCTGCCGCCATTAGAAGCACATTTAAAAGACTTGCAAGAAAAACGATATATTCTAATAGATGAACTTTCCGGAATAGACGATGAGTTAGCGCAGGTGGTTATAAATAGCGAAGGCTTTGAACAAGTCAGTAATGAGTTAATACAACAAGCTCTGCGTCGAGCTGTAGCCCAACGCAAGGTAGTGCCGGTTCTTTTGGGGTCGGCATATAAAAATGTGGGCGTGCAGCGCGTAATGGATGCAGTAATCGATTACCTACCAGCGCCAAATGAACGCAATCAGTTATATGATTGTTTTGGGTAAACAAATATACATTTAAATAGTTGTTAATGCCCATGACTAATTTATTATTTATTTGTCTTATGTAAAATTTGAATCAGTGAAGATTTTGTGGGAAAAGTTTTTAAAATCGTACACGATAAGCAACGTGGAGCCCTAACGCTGGTACGTGTTTTTCGCGGTGAATTGAAGAAAGGCTCACGTTTGATCACCACACGTAATACCTCTGAGGTGGTTAATAAACTTTATGAGCCATTGGCGGATGAGTATAGAGAAATTAGTAGCGTACCAGGAGGAGATGTAGCAATCTGTGCCGGTCTAAAGGTAAGAGCATCCATACTGATTTTGGGATAAAAAAAAACTATAACAAATCATACGACATCCCACATCAGCACACAGTTACCGGCGATCTCCTGACCTCAACGGCGTCAGCCTTAAAAGGAGCACAAAAACGCCTACAAAAAATACTAAAATTACCTGAAAGCGGTGCTAAAGTTGAAGAGCACAGTAACAAAGACGGAGATACCGATGCGGACGCCACGCTAGTTAATGAGATATTCGCTACAGAGCCACAAATTCCGGATGCAGTGTACTTTTGCTCCATCGAACCGCCTAGTTTATCGACACAAAATGCGATGGAGGCAGCGCTAAAGCAATTACAACGCGAAGATCCAAGTTTGCGCGTTAATTATGATTCAGTTACTGGGCAAACAGTGCTGGGCGGTAAGTAACTAGCTAAGCTAAGTAAAGTACAGTTTATTCTATATTTTCTAATTTATTTAACCTACAAGGTATGGGCGAACTTCACATGGATATCGTAAAATCTCGTATACTTACCGAATATAAAATCGAAGTGGATTTGGGTCCACTCCAAATAGCCTACAAAGAAACTATTGAGGAACCGGCAATGGATAGTTTTCAAGTGGAAAAGGAAATAGCCGGAAGTAAGCAGAGTGTCTCTATCACTTTGGAACTACTGCGAGAACACAAAGAACCATTTAGGTAGTAGCACAACTTTTGCCAACAACTACATGGCTCTTAAATATTTATTTTTATATAATATTAAATATGAAAGTAAAAATGTAAAATAAACTTTGTTTTCAGTTTGGATAAATCCGGTGAAAATGCAGCAAATTTAAACACTGTACGCCCTCGCATGCTGCATGTGATACGAAAAGGCGCATTGTCGGCTTTGGATCGTGGCCCACGTGTAGGTGGTCAGGTGGTTGATACACAAGTGCGCCTACATAATATCACAATCGGTCGTGGTACTGCGGATTCATTTGTGATGGCCGCGGCGGCCCAATGTGTGCAAAAGGTAGAGAATTCCTGTATAGTACAAACTCCCTAACAATTATATAGTGATAGCTCTATTTTCATTGTTGTACAGATACTAACGACAGCAGGTACACGTTTACTTGAACCAATAATGGCACTGGAAATCGTTGCACCATCCGAGCGCATATCTGCAATTATAGCCGATTTATCACGTCGTCGTGCTACAATAAACGAAGTACGTCCGAAAAGTGAACAAAATAAGGTTGGTTCAATGAGATATGTATATGGCATGCATTAAATAACTGTACAAATTCTAGAATAAATTACAACGTTTTTGTTTCAGTTGATATGTGTTAATGCCCCATTGGCTGAGCTATCCGGCTATTCCAGTGTATTGCGTACAATCACCTCGGGCACGGCGAGCATGACAATGCAGCCTTGCGGCTTTTCAAATATGAATTCAAATGACGAAGTTCGGGCGATACAAAGAGCGCAGGGATTTGAGTAAAATACGAAGGAAAAAAAATCAATTTTGCCGTGGTACTATTACAAGACATTGCTGATTGTTAGTTGAGAGCTTTACAAAATGCACTTAACTACATTATACCGTTAAATAAATATTATTTATTATTTTTGAAAGTATATGTTTTTTGTACTAAGTACAATACTAATTTGTTGTTAAATTCTATTGTGATTGTATTAAAAAACTAAATCACAATGTGCATTTAGTTCCAATTATGATTTACCGTTAGCGGCTTATTCCTTTTTTGTAATTATACCTCATGAATATTAAATTATCTTGTTTCCACACAACTTACTTATCAATATCAGACTCCCATCGTTGAATATCTCCCCTTTCCCCAGTAGCGAAAACACTTGAAGCGCTGCTGCTCTCCTCTTTCACTTACCACTTGAGCATACCATCACTGCATCTACAACCGTACTTGTCGCATTAAACACGTAAATAGTCCATAGCATTAACCAAAACCAACCCTGCGCATGAACTGACTTGGTAGCACTAAGCCTGCCAAAAGTCTTTGGCACTGTAAATCATTTAGTGCTACTATTAAACATTGAATTGGGAAATCGTCGGGAGTCATCGGTGGAATTTCGAGGCCAAACTTCTAAAATCCATCAGAGAGGGTTTCCTGGATCTCATATGCACGGTTTCATTGCACGGGAGCTTCGGCTACACCCAGCAAAATCTTAGGTTACCCTCTTCACCTGCTGGACGCGGCAGTACCGGCTCGAACTGGAAGTGAACGGCTGCAATTAGTAAAGAACCGAAACACAACACTCAAACAGCTGTGGGTAAAAGACAAAGAAACGTTGATGCACACTATTTCAGGAATAGCACACTCGGAATTAAACCACTACCAATTGCAGACAAAAAACTCGAGCTACCGCGAGAGATCCGAGTACTGGCACTGTTAAGGTTTGGATCTTACAGCTGACTCAAGTCCTACTTATCCAAATTTGTTCACCACAAACCTAACGTATGTCCTGCATGCAATCGGGCTGACTCGCGAGGTTCGAACAATTTTAGCACGACCAATATATTTGTTTGCCTTTGGCATGGTGATCCTTAACAACAATTTCGCTATTGCTACGACCGGTAGAGAAATAAGCTTCCATATCTGCCGGGCTACTGCGCCAGGTCTTAAGGTTCAGCGAAAACTTACGACGACATGAATACGACTACAAGCTTGAAGTTAGCTTCGAACAGAGCTTCCTCCTCGTATATAAAATACACAGGTAACACTTCACCAGAAAACTCATAAAAGTACTACGATAATACACAATGTCGCGTAGGTCCAACAGACTGAGCTTGCATGAAATGCCAGTATGTTGAATTCGTCTTTTGACCTACCACTTTCCTGCCGTCCTTATGTGACCGTGTAAGCAAGAAATGGACGTATCTTTTGCAGTCCCTTTACATCACTAATAATATCCAGGAATTTCTCCACAACACCAACTAGAGCTTTGTAATTCACATAAGCATTTATTTTTGGTGCTTTTCCCTCTGATTTTCCCTGTAGTTTATTCACTATATATGGTCTGCTTCTAGTTTTTTACTATTGCCTCATAGGAGACAATATTAAATGCCCACTTATGTCGAAAAGACCCCTGTTTCGTATTCTTTATGCTCCAGAGATTTTTCTATTTCCGCTATTAGTAAGTGAAGTGGAGTTTCACTGGATCTACACTTCGTATACGGGTGCTTCGATATGCTGGCCGATGGCAACTTAACCTTATTGCGAGTGTTCAGTATCTTAGCGAATATACACCTTAATCTTCGGGCTCGCCTTGCCTTACTACCGCTCTGGAAATCTATACTGTATGTACACCCCAGAAAATGTGTGTTGATCAGGTCTTCCAGTGAGACCTCACTGCTTCCAGCTCATTTTCGAAATTTTTTTGCGTAGTACTCTTAGCGGATGCGATAGCCGAGCAGTTTGCATTGCGTATTGCCAATGGAAAGACCAAGGTTAGAGTCCTGGACCGACCAACATTAAGAATTATAGAAAATCAGTTTAAATAAAAAAAGTTAAGTTTTTCAATGAAATGACATGAAATAAAGGCTCCTCATTAAAAAACCAGCAGCCGTTCGGAGGAGGCGACTTAGTATTGGCGGAGGAGCTCGGCCGAAAATCGCTTTAGCGGTTACAATGCGCCAATTATATATATGCATCTAATATTTGAGCAGTTGGGTTCTTGGTAGGCAGTTTCCACAGCTTAGCTCTGCCAATTTAAAGCGGGAGTCATTAACTTGTCAGTACTTGGTTACTCGGTTAAATTCATCGTCACTACCCTCTCATACAATTACCAATTCGCATTCTTGGAGATTTTTTTGTGCTTGTTGTACGGGCTTGGAATTTTATTTGAAATCGTACATGAGTTGAGTTTAGTTGATGCGGTGGCTCATCAGAGCGACCAGCGTCCATTGTGATAGCACACGGTAAGAAAAAAAAGCGAAGGTGTGCTAAGCTCCTCCATCGTTCTGATTTGTTTCACCACTAGGCTGGGGTAACGTTCTTCGAGGAAGGAGCAAAATATGGGAGTGTCATTAAAAGTGAAAATCCCTTTTTATTTTTGATTATTTTACTTATATATTTTAATATTTTTTTTTTTTTTGTAATTATCATTTATTTCGTTTAGCTTTTGAAATAATCCATATCCATATCATTTCGATTTCAATTTGAATATCCTAACTACAGAAACGTGGACATTATGTTTAAATGTTTATTTTTTGTTTATTATTATTTATATGCGAGTTATATAAAATATATGAGATAATACATTTTTATATGTATATATGCATGTACATATTATATATATAAATAATATAATTATAGCGATAAATGGAAAATACAATTAGAAAACAATGGAATCGGTATTATTATAAATTGTATTAAAGCAAAGAAATAAACAAAGAAAACAAATAGAAAATATAAAGTAACGACAAAATCTAGCGAATATAAAACAAAAACAAAAACAAAAAACAAAGAAAAACTAGCTCATGTACACTGAGTAGGAAATTACAATAGAAGAAGTTTGTATAAATGTAGCATTTTATTAAAATTATTTTCTATACATTTAGCGTAATTAAGGAATTCACATTATGGAATAGCGTGATTTTTTAATACAATTACAGTTATAGAATTTCAGACGCCGGTATATAATTGTGCTTACCATATGCTTGTAGGTCGACAAAATCAAAATCGAACGTTAAAAGACGGCAAGTTTAGAATTGCATAATTTTACGTGCCTTTTTTTTTATTTATTTTTTATTTTATTCATTTTTTTTTTTTTTTTTTGAAAATTATGCAATACGAAAGATTTCAAAAGTGTGCAATTCACATTTGTTTATTTCAAAGAAAATGTGGTATTGCTGTTATGCTTGGAAATAAACTGTCAAAACTGGCCGAAGCATAAATACAGCGGTAAAAAAAAATATTGGTCATCAACTAAATTCTTAGAAAATGTTATAATAGCTGAATTTTGTAAAAGCTTATACACAAAAATTTGGTTTTAGTCGAATGTAATATTGGCGTACAAGAGCATTTTTTAGGACTGATGGCATTATAATTGTGTATAGAAACCAAAATGCGGACCTATAAGAACGCAATACAGTTGCTACTGTAAAATCTGGTGGCGGTGGGTTTAATGATTTTGGGATATATGGCGTAATCTGAAATAACAAATGGAATAATGGATCACAAATACCACTACAAGAGAAATTTGAGATGTAGTGCAGAAAAACTGAGCATCGGCAATGATTTTCAGTTCTATCAGTATAACGATCCCAAGCATTCTGTACATAACATTAAGCTTTGATTGCTATACAACTGCCCAAAAGCTTTAAAAACGACTCCACAAAGCGCAAACTTGAACCCAATAGTACATATCGGGGGTCATTTGGAGTCCAAAGCAAGAAAACGCAGCTTTTCTAAACAAACAATAGATTTTATTGGTGGAATGGAACAATATAGATCAAAAGTATACAGCGAAATTAGTCCAATCAATGTCAAAGCGTTTGTGTGAGATAATAAGACGTGGTGGACGCACAATAAAATATTAAAACTTTGTTACTTTTTCCAAAACTGATTTGTTATGCACAAATTACGAATACTTTGTTTTACATTTGTTTTTCGATGTTTCGCATTAGAATAGCGTTTTTGTTATTTTATTTATGTTTTTCGCTTTCAAAACAGTAAGAACATAAAAAGAGATGCCATAAACTAAAGATTGCATTATTTGTTTTAAATTTTTTTTGTTTCGTTCAGTTGCTATTAAAACATTTTCTAAGGATTCAGTTGATGAATACTTTTTTTTACCGCTATAAACGTTTCGCAAACTATCAAGCGCCTATAGGTAGACCAACCAAAATTGAGTAAATCGATAGACAGGATTTTTTTGTCAACATTTTTTTTATGATGTTCAGAGGCATAAACAAATAACAAAGCGCAAGTAATGAAAAAAAAAACACTGAGACACATATGTATGTACGTTGAGCTTGCTAATTTTTTTATGAATGCTTTAGTTTATTATATTATATTACGCCTGATTTAATTATAGTATTTATACATTGTAATGCAATATAATTTTTCGAGTCGCACGATTTAATTTTTTTTTTTTTCAAATTTTATTGGAAAAATAAGTCTGAACTAAAGGCAGATGAATTTTTTATCATTTTTAGTGCGCTATATCGTAGAAAATATAGCTTGTATAGAACTTGCAGATTTCTTTTTTCAAAAATATAAAGAAAAATATATATATTTATATATGTAAAATATAAGGCAATGTAGATTTGATTGCAAAAATTTCGAAAAAAAATCCAGTGTCATATCCAATTGGCCTCAAAGCTACCTACTACGCGTATCGACATTTTTTTTTATCTATGTAGTTTTAGCGTCCGAATAGAGTAACTTGCTATAGTTTATTTTCATTTCATTTTCGATTATAATCTCGTTGATTATACAATACACATGGTAATGCTTTTATTCATACATACAAATACAAAACATAAGAAATGAAATATTATCATTTAGATAAACATACATATTTTGAAACACTTTCCAATTGAATGCTTATACTATGTATTGTATATATTAATGTGTTTTCTATCATTCATAATGATAATCTTTTAAAGATAATTATGTTGTTTTTTTTTCTTCTCTTTTTGTTGCCTATGAGTGACGATTTGTTTTTTGTTTGATTGTTTTTTCTTTTTTTGTTTTCTTTTTTGCCTTTTTGAAAGTAGTTTTATATGTATGAAATAATTATGCATATATATATATATAAATAAATCTAAAATAGCGTAAACGCGTACATATTTATATTAGATAATTTACATAATATGACGTTGAAATGAATTCGTTTTTTTGTCATTTCTTCTTCTTCTTCTCCTTTCTACTCATTTCTTGTTGCGCTGCTTACACAACTTTTTTTTTTAGACATATATTATTTTGTATGTGTATGTTTGTTGTTTAAAACGACATAATTAATTGATCATAATTATATAATTCGTTTGCCTTTTCAATAATATATAGCAGAGCATACATTTACATACATAGCTAATATTACATTTAATTAAATACAAATACAAATAGAAATAATAAAAATAATAATAATAATAATAATCGTAATCATTATGTACGCTTGCTTGCTTGCATGTATGCAAATAACGAAGTTACAAAATGAAATAATTTCCCAAATTTGGTTCACAACAATTGGCAGAGATACTGTAAAACGTACATACACACGTAGTGATACAATTATCATAAGTAAACTCACAAGCACACTGAGACATACATACAATGTTGAGTACTAATCCGTAGCGTTAACATATGTAAATTAACGTTTTTTAAAATATATGTATATATTTTGCATATACATATGTATTATATAAGCATATATGTATAGGTATGTATATAGATGTGTACATATTTAGTTTTTTTTTTGTTTTTTTGTTGAATTCGCCATTTTGGCTAAACGTTGGCGCTTTTTCTTGTCTTTGCTCTTTGTTTGTTGTATGTATGTGATGAACGACTTGAGTACGAAATTCTGCTGAGAAAAAGATGATTTGTTGCATGAGTGTAGATTAAGTTAAATGCTGGTATGCCATGACACGGAGTTGAACGAAACAAAAAAGAATTAGCTGAAATTATAAATAAAAGAAACAGTTAGATAAACATATTAAATAACGGTTAAAAAATAACAAAATGAAAAAAATTTAATAGTAAACACAAATAAAATTAGCTCTAGTCAGTTATGAACAAAATGCGACACTTTCAAAGATTTGATTTTTTTTTGGTTTGGAATTCTTCGGTAGCTTATGACTTCGAAAAAGAAAAAAAACTGTAATAGTTTCGGAATAATTCTAAAACGCGTGAGATTAGTCATATAAGTTTAAATATAAGATTATTCTTTTCAAACGCGTCTTTCTCGAAACAGCGTTTTTGAAATTTTCTGTTATTGCAGCTCAAAAACTGATAAGCCGATTAACTTGAAACGTTTTTTTTATTGTATTCAGCATTTTTTTAGGCTCACGGCTATTTTGATCGGATTAAAATTGTAAATTTGGCATGAAAAATATTGTAATTTTTTAAGCTAAAATTTAATTTTTTTTTCCAGACAACGCCATTATTTTATTCCAATCGTCGGTAATTTTAGAGTTTACACAATCCTCCATAAAGCGTTATGTGGTCTTTTTTCATTTGAGGCACCCTGAAGGTAGAAAGAATGACAGCAATATGGAAACTTGTTTATTCGGACCTCCGCGGCATTGCGCATATCTAGTCGAGAATGCAAGATTTCCGTTTGGGAAAAATATATATACAGATACCTCGTTCATAGAAAAATATATTCCTCTGCTCAAGAGAGTTTAATCGTGGTCAGGCATGCCTGTTGCTGTTGTTGTTGTAGTGATTTGCTAAGTCGCCGAGGTATGCCTGTCGTAAGAGGCGCCTAAAATCCAATAATTCTCGCGACCGGAGCGACCCGGATTTTTATCGTCAATATTACCAAAAAAAAAAGAAAAAAAATAAAACAACAACAAAATATAACTTTGATACTACAAAAGATTCTATAGATAAGTTTTCTTTCAAGAAATTGCGGCAAATCACCTTTTTTCCTTTCACACTGGTTGAGTCCCTTAGACAAAACATTATCCGTTTCCTTCAAAAGATTTCTCATAGATTTGGTTAATATTCGCCCGATTTGTTAACCCCTTAATCACAGCCTGCATGGCATAGTTAGGAAAATAAGTCTAGAAGGTAAGCTACAGTCTCATATTATATGTCAAAGTAAGGCCGAAAATCGCTTCAGCGGTTACAAAGCGCCCATTATATATATGTATGTCACAATGACAAATTTCGAAATTTAATTTCAAGAGCAGTCATAGTTAACTTAAATAATTTAATATAAATTTAATTTCAATTTCTGGAAATTAGCTTAAATCACAATAATTTAACGAAAATCTCATTTTTTTACCGCAATTTCAAGAGAACTTGAAAAAATTTTTGTGTACAGCACGAGCTATTGGTAATTTCATTACTGAAAGCAAATTGCCGATATGTAAATGGAAGCAGTCACACACTGCAATTTTTATTTCTGGAATTATATGAATTTATATTGCAGATTCAGGGCGATCACACGCCGAAATTGTTATTTTTTTTTTACAGCAAAATTTGTGTTGGAAGTAAAAATTGAGTGGTGTAAATTGTTATGTCTGACGGCTCAGTTTGTTTAGGAAATACTGTTGAGTATTTCTACTCCCTTCCTGATATTAAGCACAAAGCAGCCATTGTCCAGCTTAGTCGTAAACGTCCAAATGGCTATTTGCCTGTCTCAAAAGTTAATTTAAAGAGCACTGCCAAATCTCTAATGGGATTAATTTAGGCGTTGATGGAGTTGGCTTTGAAATGCAATTTTTAAATCAAAAAGTTGACTAACCAAAATATATGTATAAGTGTTACTGAATTCATATATTACCAGATACGAGTGGTGGCTGGCATTAGCATGTAATACAAATCTCATTATTATGTATATGTAAATCTTTGTCTTACTCTTGTGCTAGAAACACATTTGGGAATAAAATTTTTTTTACTTTTTTCTATAATTTTCAATTTATTTATGCAAAGTACAATATTTAACTCTTTAAAACATTGAAGAAATGTTGAAAAACACAAGTAAAAATGAAAAAAATTTAAAACAAATATTGGACCTCTACTATAGTTTCCGACATGCTACAATACAATTATTTAACGGTAATTTTATTCTCTCTTCGCAGTCGTCTTCATAGCTATCTGAAATTAAACGTGTTTCGAATTTTTCGCGTTATCAGAAAAAATAAAATATTGAAAAATATGCAAAGCCATAAAATGAAATTAAAAAAAAAAAGAAAATTAATTTCAAAAAAAAAAAAAAAAAGAGAGAGTTCTGTATCTGATTTAATACTAATGCTCGCACGTGACTTCATCCGCATGAGAATTCAATATGGTTCTAGTAAGATTTTTTGCTGTGTTTATACGAATCAAAACACCGATTTTTTCAAACACCACGAACACTGTTCCACTTCTTCGAGGGTACAGTTTCTACTTATTGTCCTAAGAAAGTGAGCTTTTGTATGTTCCGAATATTAAACAACTCAAACCATAAGCACGATTATTGAGTACGATCTATTACCCAAGTTCACCTTACGGTAGTAAAAGTATTTCCCATCTGAATCTAGGAAAAGGGCAACTTTTGAAGCAAATTTCGTGTAAATTGAATGATTTAAAAATTATTTTAATTTTCTGTCCAAGGTCCACTTCCCGGAAAATTATTTCATATTCCAGAAAACACTCTCCATATAAGAGATATGTATGTATGACCTGTTGCTTAGGCTGTGCCCATCAGCCGTTCAGGATAAAACCTTTCACATATCGAAAAAGAGAAAAAAAAAATATTGTAAAGAAAAATAGTTTAACCCGAACATCATATTTCTGTACCAGACACATTTAGTGCCAAAAATACCAAAAAAAAAAAAACTATCTTTAAATTTTTGTATCATGGTTTCTGGTATGCATAAAACGCGAATTTCTTGACGGTTATGCTGCAACTACCCAAATCACGTACCAGTCCTGCGGGTTAGGGGTTCAAGAATTTACCCGCTGTAAGGCATGCCTGGCGTAAGAGGCGACGAAAATCGAATTGTTCTCTCGATAGTCGAGTCTTTACACCGGAACGACACGGACTTTTATCCGGCCAAGGACTGTCACTCCCGCAACATTTCCCAAAAAGTAATTTGGGGTATATTTTTGTGGTTACAACAACAACAACCAATAAATGATATGTAAAATCGTGAATTCGAATTTTTTAAACTCAAAAATAACTTTGAAACTGTATTTGAAGGCACATGCAAGAGAACCCATGGCCACAATTTGAGAACTAATCCAAGCGCATTTCACATCAACCATTTGGCGATTTTGTGCTGGAAATTTAGTTTTAAGAATTTCGATTTTGGATACTTTAATTTTAAGAATTCTATTTTTAGGTATTTTATTTTTTTGGAATTTCAATATTCAGTAAACAGAACGAAGAAAGCTTTTTTAAAACAATTAGCATGGTTTCGGCCTATGAGAATTCAAACAAGTGCCTCTAGTATATTTTTCTATTTTTTTCCTTTCTCTCTAAATTACAGTAATAAGAAATTGTTTTCTTTTTTTTAGTACTTTATTTACCTGCAAATACTGTTACCATAAATAACAGAAATTATGGATTTTTTTCGGAATCAGAATTTTTAGTTTACGCCTAAAACCATACTTCTTTAAATACCCATACATAGTTGATTATTACTTTATATTTATTTTTCTTTAATTTCTTATTTTCTTTACTTACCAATTTCGTCTTACTCTTTTTTACTTAATTTCTGTTTTCTTATAATAATTTCCCATTTTACATAGAAACGAAAACGCATTTCAATTAAATTGAATTTCATATGCGAAACTGATTTGAAGTCTTTAAGCATAAATTGTTTCTTATTCTTTAGCTTGTTGGTTCTTTTTGTCTTTATTCAATAACGTCGTGCTTTGCATTTGTATGTGTGTGTGTATATGTGTGCTTTTCAATTATACTCTCTCCTTTACAAGGCTCTTGTTTCGATTGAGCTGTTTAAATGTTCTATATTTTTGTCCTTCATTTCTTTTTCTCTTTCTTTCTGTAATGGTAAATATTTAAAGAAAAAGAACAAAAGAAAAAAGTATATTTTTTAAAAATTAATTAATGTGTCATATTATGTATTTGGGTAAATATTAAAAAAGTTATATTTTTGTAATATATTAATAAAATAAATACTACTGAAAACTCCAAATAAACAACAATTGTGATAATGCTACGGCAAAGTATTATAGAGCTTATTTAAAAAAAACACAAAAACCCAAGAAAAGAAAAATAATTAAAAAATAAGCACTTCTTAAGACAAAAGGGTGTAGTTCTCTAGACGTTTGGCTTCAATAGGGCAATACTTTTTAGGCGGCCGCAATAGCCAAGTTGTTAGCATTGCAATTTAGCAGTGCAACCATTCAGTCCACTCCAGCATTCGAATCCACAACCAAAAATAATTTTTCTAATTTCGGTCACACCTCGACAGAGAATGGGCCTGACAAGTATATTTCTGATATGAAATAAAAAAATTCCCCAGAAAAGTCCATGGTCCGTTCGAGAGTGACATAGTATAAACTGTAGGTCCATCCATTTGTTGGAAAAACATCAAGACGCAAAACCACAAATTGGAGGAGGAGCTCGGCCGCAAAATCGCTTGAGCAGTTACAAAACGCCAATTATATACTCGTATATGAATATAAAAAAGATGCATGGCGCACTGTGCCCGATACTCGGTCGATATTAACGATTACCAGAATGGGTAATTCAAGCAAACATAAATCGGTTTCGGAACACGTTCACTCTAGTGAATATTGAGCATCCTCAAGGACGCCACACAACGCGCACCGAAGACACTATTCCTGCTGTGGAGCAAGATTTCGAAAAAGAACCGAATGGTGCATTCGTCATCGCAACGATTTGAGCTGTGCGCATACACTTTATGGAAGATTTTGCGGAAGAATCTTGATTTACAGGCTTACAATATGCACAACCTGCAAGAATTGTAGCCGGACGTACGGTAAATGAGAGCTCAAAACGAAATTACCACTGATCCCGATTTTCGCAGATAATTTTGTTCAACGATGAAGCTGACTTTTGGTTGAATTGTCGCATATTTAGAGTCATTCTTCATTTACTAATTTATTAAGGGAATCAAAGAAAATTAGTAAAAGATTTGCGCCTTTATACAAAACTAAACGTAACAGCCTCACTGACAAACTTAAAATGTGAACTCCTGCGAGTTAAGGGTTCAAGAACTTGCTCGTGGTAAGGCATACCTGCCTGCCGTAAGGACGAGTAATATCCAATAATTCCCGGAAAATTTCATCCGGACAGAAACTGTCACTCCCGCAATATTCCCCGAAAATTAATTCAGAAAATATTTGGCAGTTACAACAGCAATAACGACAACAAACTTAAAGTGCATAATAATAACTTATGTATGTATGCAAGCTCAATAAAAAATTTAAATGAACTAATAGCTAAGCAACATATAATTTATTATAATTAAATATAACCGTTTGTAAGGAGAAATCGAAAGGCGAATTTCTCCAAATACTTTTGCTCTCCCCAAGCTTTTCTAATCTTCTCATTGGCATATACTAAGCAATGAAATAATAAATGCAATTAAAATACAATACTCAATGAGCTATTAACGAAAAAAGAATATAAAACTTATGGAAGTCGTAAGCAAATTACTTCTGTTTTTCATAAAATGTTGAAGAAATAACTACGTTTTTTGATTTATTGAAATAAAAACAAAACCTCAAAACTATTTATTTTATAATAAATAAAATTTATTTGCATTTCTAAAACTTTCTAATCTTTGTTAAATAGCTATTACACCGGCATATTTAATTTCAAAGGATTCTTCAATAAGATGTATTATTTTGAATAAACTGCTATCCGTTAGATGTCACTTTTGCAACTGTAATTTTTTGACATTTGACAAGGAAAAACTACGTCCGTAATAAAAATGCAACGATGCACCCTTCAACAACGCATTGAACTTATTAAAATTCACCGTAAAAATGGTGAAAACCTGGCAGACCAACTAAACTATTTTTTAGTCATCGTGGAGCACCTTGTCGGACCGCAATACAGAAATTGTTGGAAAAAAATGAAGCTGTTGCGAAGAATAAAATACGTGCACGTCGCTCAGAAACTGCTGAAACATTGCTGTAGCCCAGCGTTGAAGAACTGGGTTAGGTTTGTTCATTCCTTATCGTTCTTTGGAATTTGGCATTCCACAAACGTCATTACACCATATTTGGCATAGAGACTTGGGTCCTAAGGCTTACCATTTGCAGTTAACACAAAAACTCAAGCCGGCCGAACGCCAACAACGTCACTTCTTTGCTGATTGGGTTCTTGAAATGCGTGAGCATGCTCCGGAATTTCATCGAAAAATCATCTTGACTGATGAGGCCCATTTCCAACACGATGGGTATGTTATTAAACAAAACTGTCGCAAGTGGGGCTCGGTAAACACTAGATTTATTGTTGAAAAGTCTCTCCATGCTCTTCATGTTTAACTGTTTGGTGCAGTTTATGGTGCTGCGGCGCGGTCATTGGACCTTACTTTTATGAGAATGAATCGTTTCCGCTATCGAGAGATGATTAATGATTTTCTATGGCCGGAATTTGATAGCATTGATCTGGACAACGTTTACTTTCAAGGGAAAAATCTATTTCAATATCAAAATAACACCTCTTATTGGAAAACCCTCTAGTATCTACTCTGTAGTTAAAAGTAAAAAAAAATGCACAAGGAACTAATAAACAAAAAGCGAGAAAGATGAATTAAAGAAAGCGCATTTTTAGACTTTCATTACACTTTTACCTGCACTGTTTGCATGTAAGTACGTCACAATGTGTGATTCAACGCTGCAGTGCATTTTTGCAATTTTATTATTGTATTCTTTTTTTGTATTTTTTTTGTTTTTTTCGTCTTAACTACTGTACAATTTTCCACATTGCCGTACGAGCACACATTTAAGCACACAGGAATTGTGAGGTTTTGGTGTTGCTTTTCTTACTATGTTGCCAATTGTGTTGGTGTATGTTCAGTCGTGGAGTTGATGATTGTGGAGTAAGTGGGAGGAGGAGGAGGAGGATTGTTTAAATGTATGCTTGTAGTATTTAGTGTAATTAAATATTGTTCTTGCTCGCGGTTTTTTGTTTGTTTAGCAAAACAGCATCGACCACCAGGCGCAGCCACATAGCCATCTGCAATTCAATGTCGTTGGGGCGGAAAAAAAACAAAAACAAACAAAGAGAGGAAGAGAGAAAGAAAAAGACAATTTGCAGGTGATAACCAATTGTGAATTTTTGGTAATAATTGCATAACGTTTGCATTGGTTTAATTGCACAGATGTTAAAAGTTTCATAAAAAACAATATGTACATACATATTTTACACAAAAACAAATGAGTATACATACATACAAACATACACACGTCAATGCGTTGAGTGTATGCATGATTTGTTTAGAAATTTCGGTGCGGGTTTACTTGTATTTACATGGCTTGTGAACTTGCAATTTTGAACACATACAAAAAAAGCAACAAAACTGAACTGAAATGTATACAACTGACAAACAATTAAGGACAATTTGTTATAAACAAAGCTTTGCATTACTAGCTAAGCGCAATGGCAGTTTAACCCAAAAAATAAAAACATTTTAACAAAATGAAATGATTTATGTACATATAACGCATTTTATGAAAAATGTTTCAAAAATAACTGCTTTGTTAATAATTGCGCCTTTATGCTATTAGAATGCGCAATTAGCACGGCGATAATCTCCGATCAATGGTTTTTATTATGTTCATTATTATTAAAAAAAAAAAAATTTCTTGGAAACAATAAGGAAGAAACAGAATTCATAGGTGAATAGTAACTAATCAACAAGCAATTTTTCAATTTAATGCAAAATTGTATAAAATATGTATTAAAAAGTTTGTTACAAAGCAAAAATCTCAACGTATTTTGCAAATTTAATGGCAAATCTAAAATTGTTTCCCTGAGCCGACCGATTTAAAATCTTGAAAACAGTTGCCTACAGTAACTTTTAACAATTTTTTTCCTGTTAAAAATATATTTAGAGGAGTTTAAATTGGGAGCTCCCGCAATTATGACAAAACTTTTTCTAATACTTTAGTAGCTAGTAGTCTGGTTCGAGTCTAAGAACCTCCGCATAGTAACGTGCAATAGGTAAATACCCACTCGTTTACAGCAACCGCCGGCCGAGAGGTTTAGCGATTTGAATAATTATCTTTGATTATCTTTCGAATCAAGGTCCATGATTTGCCAGCCACTTACTTATGAGCGACATTCAATAGTTTACATGAATTTATTTGGGTGAAAACTGAGCTGTTTCGACAAGCTCGGACCAGGGAGAAAGAGCAGTCACTAGCATGCGTGGTCTCATATTATGCAGGGCATACGTTGGATACGTCGGTGTTAAGTTTGGATAGATAGAAATTAAGTCGACAATATTCTCGAGATGTAGTACAAATTAGTAAGACAATAAAAAATGGAGCGAGACACATCTAACCCCTTAATAAAAATATATTTAACATAACTTAAGACATGAAGATATCTTCTATCCCTGTATGTAAACAGATAAATAAACTCAGAAACTTGCTTATAAAAATGTTTATATGTATAAGTATATGATTTTTATCTACATTCGGACATATACAGTTAAAAACTATAATATATAAGCTTCTTTTACTAATTAAAAATCAGCAAAAATATAGATAAATCATATTTGTACAAATAAAATTAAGAAAAAAATTATTATTAATGATAAAAATTATATGTATATGTATGTATTGTGAATTTTAACAAGATGGCCTTTAATTTCTTGTATGTTTGTGCTACTTTTATGCATTTTTCAAATTCATACGCTACAAACTACTTGATGTTAATAATTTTCTCAGCACCATCTATTGATGTTTTTATTCGCCGCAGAATGTAGTGCATTTTATGTTTGCTTTAGCACATGAAAACGGATTTTTTTTTTAAATAAATTTTTGCTGTGCTCTAAACCGCATCACATTTCGTGTGTTTTTTTTCATCGTTTAGGGTTAACATTTATTAAATTTTGTTTGTTACCTTATTCTTTTGACATTCTGATTTCTAATATGCTTTATAATTATTATGCCGTTTGTACACTGGTTTGTTTACATATTATTTATTATTTTTTCTTTATAATAAACATTTCGTATTTTTCATTTTTTTTTTTTTTGTAATTTTACAGTTGAATCTTTGTATATTATTATTGAATGTGTAAGTATGAATGATTCCGGTATATAATGTGATAACGGTGAGCGACTAACACTAAAACAAGTAAAATCGAAACATTCTATATATTCTATGTACTACTACTTCTTTACTGCTCTATGTACTACAAATATTTGAATTCTATTATAATTTTTTTTGTCTTGTGCTTCTCTCTGCGTGTTAAATTGAACATTTTTTTTTTAAATATACTAAATGTAATCAATTTGCAAGTGTTGCTTAATATTTAATATTTCCCGCTATATATATTTTAGATTCATATTTTGTTAATTTAATTTTTTCAGCTTTAACAGCAACGATTTTTTAATATTTACCATTTTTATTGTATAATTGCTTTTCATAATATCATTTTTAATGTTCACAAATTTATTTATACTCTTTTCTAATCGCGAGTTTTCGCAGTTTTTGTGGCTCAAAATGCAGTTTTCGAAAATGAGAGCATTAAAATTAGTCTTATTGGAAATGAGTACGAAAATTAAGTACGCTGCACATATGAATAATTTATTGGCACAAAAACCTTTTAAAAATTCCAATATGACTTTTAAAAATGATAATTTAGCTTAATAACTATTTAATATATATTAATTTAAAAGCAAAACTTATTTTACGATTTTATACAAAATTCATAAATAATTTATTTCGCAAATTCAAGTATGTAGTATATCTTGGCTAAATGGGTAAGCAATTATATTTATTTTTAGTTTTATATTAAAAATAAATATTATTTACAAAGTATATACAAGCATTATAATACAGGCTATATAAGCAAATAATGTATAGCACTTGTAAAGCATAGGAAAGCAATATTAATAAAAAATTTAAAAATTCAAAAAAAATCAATTAAAAACGAATGAAAGGAGTGACGAACAAAAAAATATATTAATTCAGATAATTCAGAAACTGTATGCAAAGCAATTACTGTTAAATCCGAATTTTATGATTTTATTTTATATCTAAAAATTGAACTTAGTCCAAAGTAAACTATTTCATAATATGGTAATGTACTATACATACGAGGGGCGTTTTTATGTACGAGGAAAGAAGAAAAATGGGTGGAAAAAAAAAGTTTTCCTTTTCAATATAGTCAACTGTAAAACGTATGCGTTCTTCAAATCATTCAATTAATTTATTTATAATCACATAAATAGTCTCTTTCATTTGCAAAATACGCCGGAACTGCCTACTCCGACTTCACCAAAAGTGATACATTTTGTTGCCCAGCTCTTGTTCTATTTTTGGAAACAGATAATAATCAGTCGGGGCAAGATTTGGGTTGTAGGTAGAGTGGGGGATTGAAAATAAGCCCATCATGTGCAGTGTAGCCAACGCAACGCGGTTCTTCTGGACTTGCACGTTGTCCCATAATATTGCGCTGACTTAAGCCATGCCTAAATAATCGTGTAGGATTTTAAAATGTTTGTTTCCTCTTTAGTCGAGCAACGTCAACGTGGTCATCTCGATGCTTCTGTCCCGTTCCGGCGTTCCGGGTCATCTTCCAGAAGTTCCCTCCTTTATTATGTTCGTCATTTATTTTCCTTGCTATTTAAGGAAGTTTATAATAGCACGATATTCAATTTTTCCCATATTTTACTTTTCACATCCGATTATGTTGCTTGTTCGATGATAGTTAAAAGACTAATTGTCTAATAATAATGAAACCTCGTTTTTATACTAATTATGAGTCACTGAACACGTTACGATCCTAATGTGCTTAATAACTCCCCTAAATCCCACTCATTCTGCGTACATAAAAACACTCCACCGTACATACCCGATTTGAAAGTAAAAGCTAGCAAAAAAAATCTTAAAGTTTTTTATTTTTATAAAACTCATTAGACGCAATATGAATTATCGACAGAAGTTAGATCAGTACAAACAATGAAAAACAAAAACAAAGTAATTTGTAATAACCCACACATACGGAAATTACCAAATAAATCTTTTCGAATATTTTAATTAAAATCAATAGGAGTTAAAGTGTCAATTGGAGGGAGGGAAACGAATTAATACGATACAATTAAACCACACAAGCTGAGAAAACTCCCATTACCCGTCAGCCAATATCTTGTTGTTGATAATTATACCTGTTAGATGTTTGTTGCTGCTGTGGTTGTGCCTGTTGTTGTTGCGTTGTTGATGACTGTGCTGTAGGCTGTTGTAATTGCAATTGTTGCGGATAAGCTGGTGGTGGCTGTTGCCGCGCACCAATCCCTGTTACTCCGCCTCCACCACCACTCGTTGAGAATTGATCCAATTCTTCGTTGTTCGTTAATTGTTGCTGTTGCGCTACATCTAATTGTTGTTGATCGGAAAGTATTTTAGCAGCTAAAATTGACACATAAGCACGATAGCGACGTATCTGATGGAAGAGTAACATTAAATTAGTGAATTCAATATGAAATATGTATATATTATATATATATATATTTTCTTTTCTTTTTTTTACCTCATATTGTAGATAACTTTCTTTTTCTTTGTAATTCTGTAGTGGCAGTCCTTTGTTCGGTATAGGCCCTTTCTTATGTTCCGCGAGTGTAGCCTCTAATTGAGCCAATTGTTGCTCATGCGATTCTAATTGCTCTTTCTACATATTAAGAGGTAAATAGTTAGTTATATATATACAAGTATTTTTTTTATTTTTTTATTTTTTTTTTAATTTACGCACCATTAAATATTTTGTATGTGTGCTAGGCAGTAACGGGCGCTGAAAACGTTTCTGACTGCCAACACCACCCTCCAATGGTGGCGCTGAGTATGCGGCACAAACAAAGTTTATCGTTTCCACCCACGATTGTAGCTCTTTGGAATCACTGGTCTGGAATAGGTATTCAGCTTGATCAGCGGTTTGTAAACGGAAAACGTGTTGTTTTTTGGTATAATCCGTAGCCTTTGTGGCTAAAGCATGATGTATACGTATCGCATTGTGCAGATTATCGGACATCTGCAAACAGATATATTATTTTTTTTACAAATTAATACAATTTATAACGATAAATTAACTTATATTACAGCAACGCACCTGACTTTTACGAAAGCCATGTTCGTCTTTGTGCAGAAAGAGCACTAAATCACGTAAAGTACAGTAAAACATCTTCCAGGAACGTTTACCGAATGGCGCTGGAAAAAGAATATGATTAATTAAATAAAATATTCAAGTTGAGTTATTAGAGCAGTCGTAAAAAATGTATACAAACTTTTTTTATAATTGGCATCGTAACAGCACTTGCGCATCACATAGCCCTTCTTATATTCTATTGCCGATGACGATTCCGGTAGATCTAAGAAGGGATTTTGTCCGATAAGGCTATTGTTTGCGCTGCTGCCTACATTATTGTCTGTACGCTGCTTTTGCATTTCGGCTGCGTCATCATCGCTACAAGATAGATTTTTATATATATTATATGAAAGGTCTGCAAAACATTTCAAGTATTTAAATTGCATTCTTACAGTGCCCATTCAAGAGGTTGTGTTTTAATGGCTTGATATAAATATTTCAAAACGTCTTTGGGGAAATTTTCGCCGTCGTTGAGCTCAGTTAAATTTTCGATGAACTCGGCGCAGGTCATCTTCCGACCGATATTCTGCCCGTGTAAATCGGTATTCAACAGCATGATAGCGCAAGTTAAAGTGTGCACAGCATCTGTGTGGTAAAGAGTTGAGTAAATGGAAATTAAAACTTTATAACAAAAACTTTAAAATAATCAAAGAGTTTTTACACAAAGAAAATTGTTGGTCTATTAACCGTAACTTCATTGTGTTATTTCAGAATTGAGAATTGAGAAAATGGATTGTGGACAATGTAGATTTACAGAATTCTTAGATACATCCGTTATGGACTTTAATTCCAACTAATTCTCTAGACCTCAGATGAGACGAGATGATCTCGATGATAACCATTATAAGTGTCTTTATTAATTTCTACAATCAATTACCTTGTGAATTGATCGTGCCCGGATTACAGTCTAAAAAACGTTTCGAGAAATGTACCAATACACGTTCGCGCTCCTGTGTCTCACCCGACAGCGAGAATTGTTGGAGGAATTCACGTAGCGATTGATCCAGCGTTTTCTTTTCGAAATTAAAATACTTCAGGTATTCATCGGCCACAGCGCGACTAAAGTCGTTACTAAAAAGGCAAAAATATATATGTATGTATGTTTAAATTTATAACATATCCACATATGTACATTATGTACTAACTTTTTACTGAGATGACGGGACACGTCACTCTTCTTGAAACCATCCAGTGAGTACAGTCTTTTGGCCAGCCGTATCGCCGACGGCATATCCACGGCCTTTGGTGAGTAATGGTAGGAATGTAGCGACTCCACGTCGCTGCCATCATCCGAGACGGGTGGCGATGAGTCACGACCCGTGCCAGTACCTTCGCCGCTTGTCGCCGCCAGGGCGGTATTCAAGGGCTCCTCCGTCAGCGTGGCCAGCTCATCTTCGGAATCTTTCAGTTCGGAATATGCTGAACGCGGTGAGGCACTATTACTATTATCGACACCACGCACCTGTATCACTAGTTTATGCTGTTCTGAGTTACCTTGTTGACCGCCAACAACTCTTTGTTGTAGCTGTTGTTGTTGGTGCTGTAGCGTTTGTGCTTGTAATTGTAATTGCTGATGTTTTTGCTGCTTTTGACGAGCTGCCGCTGTATCCGAAACCAAAATTGTGGAATCAGAATCACTGGGATCGCTAAGTACCATGCCGCCTGCAAGATCGCGAGAGCTCAATAAATTATCATCGTCCTGATAGTCGGGACTAGAAATATTCGAGATGGCTTCGGAGACACTATGGTCGTAACCGGCACCACCTCCAAGACTATTGTTACCACCGCCACCTCCACCAGCACCACCACCACTACCATTACCACCACTACCATTACCACCACTACCATTACCATTACCACTACCAGTAGGAAATTGTAACAAACCCGTTTGTAACGCAGTTGTCGCTGTTGTTGCACTCGTACCACCACTAGTGCCACCGTTAGCTGCATTTGCTGTCAAATGTAGTTGTTGTTGTTGTTGTTGTTGATGATGTCCGCCGCCATTATTGTTAGTATTCAATGCGTAAGCACCGCCAATGCCAAGCGCACCCTTAGAACCGGACGATGACATCACTGAGCTAGATACGGATGTGGGTGAGGCAGGACTGCCAGCCGAATGCTGTGGCGAAGAACTTATTGAACTCGAATGCGAGTGCGAATGTGAATGTGAGTGCGAGTGGGAGTGTGAATGTGAATTTGGTGATGAATTGTTGTGGCCACTGACAACACCACCACCACCACCACCACTGCCATAATGTGTGTTGGAATACTGTTGCTGTTGTTGCTGCTGTTGCAGTTGTTGAATTTGATGTGGCGCCAGCGGTGCGTTATATGTCCAAACGATGCGATCACGATTAGAGCCCTATTGCAGTGAGACAGAAAAATAGAGAGATAAAGAAAAAGAAAAAGAGAGGCAGAATTGAAGAAATAAATCAGTAAAAGGTTTTAAAATGCATCTAATTATGGAACCAGCTCAGGCTCTGCAGCTACCTAGACTAGACTAAGTTTTAGCTAAACTAATAACTATGATTAGCCACAGTAATGATCACGATTATTTTTGTTGTTGCCTTTGATATTGTACACAATATTTACAAACAAAAAAAATTAAAACTTATTAAAGCTTGACTGATTTGATTTTTTTTTTGTTTATAGGGATGCACATATGTATGTATGTATATCTGATTTATGTCTTTTTATCGATTTATACAAATTTTATCGAATTAAATTTTATAAAATATTTACATATGTACATATTATGTTTATAAAAATTAAACAAAAATATACTGGATGAGGACATATGCAAAACCATATATGTATGTATATATATATATAATATATATGAAGCACTTTAAAAATTTGTTAGCACGCTTTATGCTAACCAAAAAACGATCATTTGAAATAATCTATGCTTCGCTATTGATCATAAATAATCAATCAGATACTTTTGCGGGAAAGAAAAGCAATCTGCATACAACACACTGGCCAGCTAAATTTTCCAAAAAAAAAAAAAAAATCATACTAATTTCGAGAAAATTTAATTTATTTATTTATTTATTTATTTATTTATTACATTTATTTATTTATTACATTTACTTATTTATTACATTTATTTATTTATTACATTTATTTATTTATTACATTTACTTATTTATTACATTTTATTTATTTTTTAATAGTAAAATAAATTATTTCACTTTCTTTATTTTATTTTTTTTATTCTTATTTTATTTTTTTTATTTGTTCTACTTATTTTATTTCTCTTTTTTAATTAGTTTTATTTTATTTACTTTATTTCATTTAATTTTCTTTTATTTCCTTCATTTCATTTTATTTTATTAATTGATTTAATTAATTTTTTTCACTGAGCTCCTCCCCTCCAATTGGTGGTGTAGGTATTGATTTTTTATCAATAAATGGACGGACGTACAGCTCATTCTTTATTTATAATATATAAAAAATATTACACACAGGAGAGCTTAACATTTCCTGCCGAGTAACGACCGCATTCGAACAATGTTTTTCGTATAATTTTTAATTTTTCAATCGATAATTCAATCGATGTTAATCCGACCAGAATTCGAGCCCCGGCTTGCCAAATAGTAGTACGTAGTGCTAACCAACCAGTCGGCTATTGCCGCCGCCGCATTTACGCACTTATTGCTTGTACACTCCAGAATTTAAGCTCAGTACGGAGTTGGAATTTCTGCATAGTTTGAGTTGAGCTTATTTAAATCGATGATATTGGAACGCATTAAAAAAATGTTAAACTATGCCCTCAAGCTTCCTGGTGGAATCAGTGCTAATAAACACAAAAAAGCAATTATGAATTAAGATCGAGTAAAATTAAACAAATATTAATTAAAAAAAAAAACAGAGGATTGGCAACATCGTTAAGATTTCTAAGTGTAAAAGGAGAAAATTTACTGATAAGTAAATAATTAAATAACAAATTCGCTAATATTACTAAACACGTATAAATACAAGTAATTATATAACAATAACACGCTAATAAAGCCAAAAAACATGCGTTCTATGATTTCTACATACAAATATAAAAGAATTTAATTGTAGCATTTTTAAAGGGGAGCAACAATTTAAATATGTATCCTATGCCATGTACATACTTTTATATAAATATTAAGCAACCAATTATATTTAATTTTTAATTGTAAATATTTTTTTTTGTATTATTTTGCACTATAAACTACTACTTATGTATGTATGTACGAGTATGCAACTCTCAACCTTTTTCATATTACAGTATTCAGCTGTTGGTTTGCTTGTGATTGTTGTTGTTATTGTTGCAGTTTTAATTATTGTCATAGTAACGCATGCATTAGTCGTTGGTGTTGTTATTATTGTAGTATTATTGGTTGTGGTAGATGTTGTTGTTGTCGTTGTAGCATTTACTGTCATTTCATTATTAGTATCACAAACAGTTATTGTTTCAGTTTCATAAGCGTTAGTAGTGACAATATCATTTTCCCTTGGTGTATCATCATTGTAATTATTATTATCATTATTATTAGTGTTATTATTATTATTATTATTAGTATGGCATTCACTCTCCACCGCTGCGGCGGCATCCAAAACAATACGCGGTATACTCGTACGCACTTTACGCCTACGCCTATTAAAAATATCACGTTGACTGATGAGTAACATCGACTCGGGCGACGATGGCACAAGTGTTGGTGAAGATGAAGCAGATGAGGAGGCCGACGCTGCCGATGCTGCCGCCGCGGCTGCTGCTGCAGCATTAAGTAGTGCTGTTTTTAAAGGCACAGACGACGATGAAGATGACGATGATGGTATTGCTGAAGCATTGGTATATGGCGATGATGATAGAGATGCAGCGACTGGGGAGAAACTAGTACCGCGCTTTGTTGTTGCTGATTTTATAGTTGATTTGTTTTTAAAGTGTTTGTTAGGAGAAGGAGTTGATGTAAAAGTAGTAGATGGCTATAAAAACACACACATACATACATAACAACAAACGAATAACAATAACAATGCCACAAAGGGAAAGGAAAAACAAATGGTGGAGCGTGGAAAACACACACAATCAATACATTTTACGAGTTTTCAGTTTAATAATTGTAGATTTGGTTAAAAAAAAAAATTTGTGTGATTATAGGTATGGTATGTATGTGTGAGTTTTTTTATTTTTTGTTTTGTTTTGCATAAAGGCATTTTTTATTGTATAAAAAAGGTATTTATGTTCAATAGATAGTGGAAAAGAGGAGAAGAAATAAAAAAGACATAACAATGTTAGAGAGTGGTATAAACAAATTGTAGAATTAGTAGTATTATTATGTAGTAATAGTAAATTGAAGAACAAGAACTTTTTAGCAACAAAACAGCAATATTTTAAGATATCAAAGATTTAATAATATTAAAAAAATATATATTATACTTAGTTTAAGGGGTTACATAGGTTGCTTTCACAGCTTCAAAAAATAAATTTTTTTTTTTACTTATTAATTTTCAAGTCGTTGCGAATAAAAATTTCGAGGATAAAAGCCTTTGGAAGGTGCGCGCTCAAAGGCCGGTAGTTCAACGCTTTAACTTTAAACGCGTTTACTCGAAATTGTGTTTGCAATGTCGATTGACAAAAGTCGGTGCTCGAAAACTTCCCAACCGATCTTGTCTCATGTAAACTTTACACTCGTCTTGGAGATACAATTCACTTACTTTAGCTAAAACATACGTGTAATATTTTTCACCTCGGATGATACCGTCATGAGTTTATCATCATGAGTTCCCGAGGGTCAGAAATGACGTCACATTTTCGAAGTTAATAATATTTTCCTTTGAAATTTTCATAAATTCTTAATTTTTTTTTGACATTCTTCGATAGTTTATATTTTTGAAAAAAACATACTTCGACCCCAGATGCCTAACTGTGGGTTAAAGTGTAAGTTATTTCTTCACACCCATTTTTTATAAGCAGCATCCGTTCGGATTAAAGCATTTTTATAGTATTCAGCATTATTTTAGGCATACAGCGACTCCCGAATTTTCGATTTAAATTTTAAATTTGGCATGGAAAATACCGTCATAATTTTAAGCAAAAACTTACTCCTTTTAAAGTCGATGCCAATTTTTTATTTTATTTAATTTTTTACCACAATTTTGGGTAGTTTACAGTTCGTACAATCCTCTTTAACGCCTTTTTACCTTTTTCCATTTCAGATATCATGAAGACAGGTAGGATAATACCAAAATGGAAACTTGTTTTTCAGATTTTCGCGAGATAGCACATATCTTATTGAGAATGTGACAGTGAAAAATATATGTAAAGATACCTTATTTGTAGACAAATATACCCTTGATACTGGAAAACATTTTTTTAAAAATATTTCCAAAATCACCTTTTTTTGTTGTCACACTGGTTGAGCCCCTAAGGTAGTAAGTAAGAATAAAATTTGTTTTTATTGGACAATTTTTTGAAAATAGACCATTTTACACCGAATACACCCAAGTAACCCCTTAACCCGTTTATGGAATGTACATATGAGTACTTTCGAACATTTTGGATGATTATAAGATGATTTTAAGCAATTCGAAATTTGTTCGGTCAAGGTTCTCACTACTGTTTGGTATCACTTAAAGGTGAAGGATTCGAAGAATATTACATACAAGTTCATACTTGACGGTTATCAATGCAAATATTGAAGGTTATCATTTATGACTTTTTATGGCCGAAATTGAGCTGTATTGATCTAGACAACGTTTACTTTCAACAAGACGGCGCTCGTGCCACATAAGCATCGATATTTTAAGGGAAAAGTTTTCGGACCATGTTATCTCTCGAAGAGGTGATCGCAAATGTCCACCGAAATCTTGTGATTTAACACCTTGCGACTTTATGCTTTGGGACCATAAGGTCTATACCTATAAACCAAAACCGATTCAAGACCTTAAAGATGGAATTTGTGAAGCTATTGAGAGCATACAGCAGCCACTTTGCCATTGATTTGGTTTGGTGATGAAAAATTTCATAAAACTGTTATGGTTCTGTAAGCGTAGCCGTGGCGGTCATTATTAACGGCATATCTTTCATATTTTTACACTGAAATAAACATCCGATCATTCTTTTGATATTAAAATAACTCCTCCGTTTGGTAAACCCTGTATATAAGTGGATTTTAGATCGTCCTTAGTGTTATGAAAGGAAGGGGAGGCAAAAAAAAGAGACAAACAAGCATCTGCAGTGGTGGAGAGCATTTCATTGTACTTTCTGACTGTGAGAATAAGTTATTTGACGTATATATATGAATGGGCGTGTTAAGAAAGTAACCACTTGCATCTTTTTAAAAAAAAAAATTTCGCTCGCCATAACTTATGTCCGGTTTTTCCTAAACTTTGGGGACTTTATTGTAGCTCTGTACTTTCGTGGTCTTAAATGAAATGAAGGAGTGCAGGCATTAAAATATCTTTTTTTGGAGCTTGGGTATTTGTTTTTTGGGGTTCTTAAAACTCCAAATTGTGTTGAAAAGTTTAGACAAGTGTCTGCTGCCAACATGATCTAGATGTGTTGAAACTATGTATCTTGGTACTTATGGTACTGCGAGACTGCAAGCACATACGAGTATGTATATATCCTCAATATAAGACAAAGGTGTGATAGGACTTCCTCAGGTTTGCAGCTAAAGTTGTCATTGAAAATAAGTTTTATGTATGAATTGATACATAAATAATTTAAAAATAAAAGTTTTAATTAGTATACAAACTAAATTGTTATAATTAAGAAAATAAGCAGATACTTCTAATTACAATTTTAAATTTTCTTGTTGCAGTTACTCAAATGCGACAACAAACTACTAACAAAAAATATTTGCAATGGCATTAATTTTGCAAGCAATGGTTTTTCAACTTCATACATAACGAACAAACAGTGAACAACATTGAAACAAAATACTGCTAAACAAAATTATTATTTTTTGCATAATTAACAAACATTCAGATAGAGGAAATTAATATTAAAATATATTTAATAAATGTTTGGAGAAAAGGAAATTATTTGTATAAAATTTAAAAGGCTTCAGTAGAAGTTCTTATTATGTAGAAATACATACACTTAAATCTACTTTATAAATATGAAATTTGCCAATTTAAATATTACCGAGTATAATAATAACTTTAATATTATTATTAACATTATTTGGAAAATAAACCCGATTATATTATTACAATTATCAGCTAAATTTAAATACAATTGCCTAAAATATTATGTTTTTGAGTTTCTTTTATTATTATTTAATTTTCTCATTTCCCATAATTCTCTTTTTATTTAGGCTATATTTTCGCCTGCATATCAACATCCTACACAATCAATGGAATGCATGTAAATACATGCAGCTGTTAGCGAACTAAAAACTATTTAAATATACATATCTATACGTAAATCGTGATTAAGACATCAAAATGTATTAAGTCCCCAAACGATACACCCAACAACCATCAAAGCCAGATATTTTTATCTCAACTATAATTTCCCCCCCACTTTTGCTTTGCTCTACATCACAGATTATTTTCTCCCCACCGCTTACCTGTGAATCTTCGGAATCTTGCCGCGTATCGAGCAGCGTATTTAGCGAACTATTCACATCCTCATCGATATCGATTGGTATCACTGCAGCTATACCTTCACGTTGCACCTGTTGTAAATGATCCTCCGATTTGCTGGTTCGGAAACCAGCCGAATCACAAGTGCGCACAACACCATTGTGTCGTCGCACAACACCGTCGTGGCCGGCAACGCCACCACCGCCGCCGCCCATTGCACCCAAGCTTGTAGGCTCGGGGCTGGTGGGCACAGAGTTTGCAGTATCCTTATCAATTAATGGTGTAGATAGTGAAATAGGTGATGTGGGCACTGAGAATGAAGTCTCATCGGGTGATGTATTTATGCCAGCTAATCCGTCGCTTTTCACTGTTGCCGAAGAAGAGGTTGAGCCACCTGAACCTCGTTGCTGTTGCCGTAATTGTTGTTGTTGATGGTGATGATGATGATGGTGGTGATAGCCGCCGGCGTAATGTTGATTTGCACTATCTACAGAATCATAAGCTCCGACGCCACCACCTCTGGCGCGCACCACGCTCTGCGCATGCTTATAGTGTGCAGCGGCAGCTTTTTGCTTAAGTGCGCGCAGACGTTGTTTTGCCGATGCCGATGTCAGCGAGTTCGAGGAGTAGTCTTCGTCTTCGTGCTCCGCCACGCAACCGTCCTCATCCTCTGCATCAAAGCCTTCAACTTCAATTTCGTCATCGTCATCATCACCACAATTCGTAACCAAACACTGTCGATCGCTAGCATCGTCATCACCACATACATCGCCTGCCCCAACCCCACCGCTATTGTATGTTTCAATGTTGGTGATGTCGTAGTGTGTTTGGTCCTCCTCGTTCTCTTCGATGTCTGCAACTTCGTCGTGCTCGTAACTGCTGCGCTGTTGATAATGACTGTATTGATGTCGTCGCGCTGAGTGAGTTTGATGATGCTGTTGATGATATCGTTGTCTGCGATTATTGTCTCCACCAGTCTCTTCATCGTCACGCTCTAACTCTTCGCATAACAACAGTGTGTCGTCTTTGCGTTGATCACTGCTAACTAAACCAATACCAGCCGCACCGACTCCGCCACCACCACTGTTACTATTGTTGTAGCTGTTGTTAATACTATCCAACTGTTGTTGTAATAGATGATGATGTGGTTGTTGGTGACGTCGCTTTCCACGATCTTTCTGATGGTGGGCTGACTCTGAACTGGCCGTATGGGTGGGTGAGTCCACCGATGACGATGACGTGGGTGATGATTCGCCGGAAGCGCGTGGCGCTAATGCGCCGTTAGCTCGCGCTGCCACGACCGCGCGTTGGGGTGAGTCACGCAAGCTGTCGATCTATATAAATCGCAGTGGCGAAATGAGTAAAAAAAAAAAATCGAAATTTATTTATATGTACTCACCTTTTTTGCGTGTCCTGGCAGTAGGTTACTACTCTGAGAAGTTCTCGATAAATTTAGTATCAGTTCACCAGTCATCATGTATGCCTCGAAACGTGGCGCTTTCGCTGGCTGCGGTGGCGCCGAGTTAGGCTCTGCCTCGCGTTCCTTCTGCTGCTGTGTCGCTTGTTGCTGCTGCTGAGTGAAACGTGTACTACCGCCACTATAGCTACTTGAATGCTGCAATTGTGTACCACTACCAGCAATTACAGTTGCTTGCGTGGGCGCAATTACTGCGGTATTACCGTTGGTGGCCGCGGCGGTACCAGCTTTTGTTGGAATTTGCGATGGTCGCGGTCGCTTGTGCTGTGGCGAGTGTTGCACGGGTAGTTTTTGTGGCGCTTTTAAAGCTGTTGGAATACGAGATGGACGAGACGTTGGTGATGTGCAAGTAGCTCCACCCGCTCCGCCACCAACACAACCCGTCCCCGAGGTGGTTAAATCACCGAATTGCAACTGTGCCGATGAAGCAGAGGAGCTACGACTATGATTACCCTGTTGCTGGCTTCCCGTCCCAGGCGCTGGTAATGAGCCCTGACGATGTGGCAAGTGTGTGGGCGATTTCGCGTAGCGTATCGCGGGTGAAGACGATGAATTGGAATTGCTATTGTGTGGCGGTTCGTAAGAGTCCTGTAGGGACAACGAACGGTGATGTGTTGTAGGTGATCGACAACTTGATACTTTATAGTCGTAAATGTGCGGTGAGGGTTCGATGTCTTCGTAATGGGGATTTTTCGTATTAGCCAGCTGTTCTTTGAGTCTTGCCTTGAGTTTGGGATCTGTAATGCGAGAAGCAAATTATAGTATTATATTTGGCAATAAGAGTTGTTAAAGGAAATTGGACACAAGTACACTTACCACGACGCAGTTCCAACGTGACTGAGTCATCGGATAGACGTAAGCATTTCAAAACTGTTGAATATAATAAAATTGAGAAAGTTTTCTAAACGTAAACGACATATGTATCAAGCAATCAGATAAATTTATGAATCTTCCTTACAACTTCCTCAACCCTATGTGGAATGATCGTAGAAATCGAAGTGACATTTATATCAGACTGCTAACAAAAGAATAACCGCTACTACAACAACAAGTCTTTGGAACCAAAATTTCAACTTTCTGCATAGCACGGAAGAAGCGGAGTTATTATCGAAACGTTACAAGAGATCTCAAAACACAAGTCGAGCAACATGATTGAGGCTAGAAATTCCACATGGCATGAAGAAGAAGAAGTTGTAGTTCTTTGAAGTCCACAAAGCGAGTAATGTAGGCCAATTATATATTTAAATACTTAAGCCCCCTTAATTTCTAGTAAGCTAAGGATAAGATTATTTTAAGTTTATCCATGTATATCGTAAAGGGAGGGGAATAAACAAACGAGAGAAAGTTATGGATAGAGTTTTGCTTCTGAATATATAGTAATGGCCTCGCGGCCATCTTCAATTACTCCACTTGCTTCAAAAAACGAACTGCCTATCTCTCAACATTTCGGAAAAAATTCATAGCAAAAAAAAGGAGTTATTATTAAAATTTTCCAACTTGCCTTCTTTCGTTGTGTATCGATGAACATCAGTGCCATTTACTTTAAGAATAATATCACCAGCTTCCACCTGAAATTGAAAAGAAAAAAAAGCATTAATATATAATAAAATTTTTAATAGAAAGCTTAGTTGGGAGAATGCTAACAATGGCGAGCTCGTAAAAATAAAATAAAATAAAAAATAAATCAAGAAAATAAATTGAAAATTAAACAAAAAGGGAAATATAATTAATAAACTAAAATTAGAAACAAAGTAAAATAAAGTATTACAAAATAAAAGAAAACTATATATAAAGCAATTAAGATAATAAATAAATATTAATAGAATGAAATAAAAAATTAAATATGAAAAAATATAAAATATTAAATAAAATAAAAAAAATTATAGAATTACATTGAATGAAATAAAATATTACAAAGTAAAAAAAGTTAAATAAATTAAATAAGATAATAAATAATTTTTAGTAAAATGAAGCAAAACAAAAATTAAAACAATTAAATTAAATGATATATTATTAACTAAAATAAGAAATAAAACATTACAAATTACAATAAGAAATAAAACAAATCAAATAAAAAATTAATCAAATCAATAAGACAAAATGAAATAGAATGAAATAAATAAATAACACGAAAAAAGAAATAAAAAAAATAAAAAAAAAGAAATAAAAAAATAAAAAAAAGAAATAAAAAAATAAAAAAAGAAATAAAAAAATATAAAAATGAAATAAAAGATTTAATTAAATATATATAATATAGAAGGAAAAATATAAAAAATAAATTAAATAAAGTAAAATAGAAAAAAAAAATAATAAATTAAAGTAAATAAAAAACGTCAATTAAAAAAAATACAAAATTAAATGAAAATTAATTTAAAATTTAAATATACATAACAAAAAATAAAAAAATTAAAATAAAGTGAAATTAGAAATAAAATTAAGAATTAAATAAAATAAATAAATAATAACAACAAATAAAATAAAAAAGAATTAAATAAAATACAAAATAAAAGAAAGTAAAATAAAAAATAAAATACAAATTAATTTATAAATTAAACAAATTAGAAATGAATAATAAGAAATACAGAAAAATACAATAAAAAACTGAAATAACATTAATTTTTTTTTTTTTTTAATATAATAGCAGTAAAATTATTTTACAATACCATAAAAGGCAATTATTCGGCCCCCTTTGCTATTAATTTAATAAAGCATTGAAAGTATACACCAATTTGAAGGCTCGTCTCTTCTCCCTCATGGCGAACAAGCAAGCATTGCCACGTAAGATATTAAAAAAACAAAACGATATACAGTAGAGTACTCAGTCTGTTAAACAGGCGGGACAAACGCGTGGGCTGGGTCTACTGAATCAGACGATGCGCCATCTTAACCAAAGCCAAAGCAGGCGGTAACGCAGTAAATTAGGATGAGATAACTCTTCGCAAATTAGTTTTCACACAATTTAATGGAAAATATATGTATATCCAATGGTTAAAGGAAAGTTTGTTAGTGAAAAGTTTATATGCATACAAAAGCACTAAGAGAGAAAGGTTTACAAAATGATACAAAAGCTGAAGAAATAAAATAAAAAAACATATAAATATAAATGAGTTCAAAAATAAAATAAAGAAAAAGTCCTGCTCTATAAAAGCAAAAACTTTTAAGGCAAGGATAAGCTATTACTAGCTAACACTTCCTCTTGCTGTAAAAATATATGTATGAAAACTTATTTGTTAGCATCAGAATATATTGATTTTCGCTCGTTTAAAATCGTTACGCTGAAGCTTTTATTGTTTTTACTTTCGAACTGAAAAACAAAAATATGACAATAGTACTTGAGGGCATAGGCAGAGATAAAAGAATCAATCACACAGTCATATGTATTGTTGTATGTAGAGACATGCATGTATGAACGTTTGTAGAAATGGCGAAAACTTAGATTGAAGTGCATCTATTTTTGGCTGAAATTTTGAACTATTTGAATGCAGTGAACAACAAACTCTTGACAATACACAGAAGAAAACAATGACTAAAGATATGCTCCAGTTATCAAGAAGAAATCATTGATTTGTTGAGATACAATAAAAAAAAATAAAAAAAAATGGCACTGCAGTGCAGAGAAATCAGGCTGCCTAGCTCGCGACGTTGCGCTCGACCACAAAATGTGCGGAATGCTACTCAAGTAGAAACCAAGCAGGTAATCTGGTGACCGACATCCAGAGCAATGAAAGCGCAACACCTGGGAATGGTTAGCCCGAAACCCCAATAAGGATGAATCCTTTTCGTTGACGGAAAGGACTGACTTTAGACCACCAAAAACTTCCATTCGCCAGATATTCACCACTCGCCAAATCATGGAAAAGACCTTTGAGAAAAGAATCGCTATACACCACAATTTCAACGATTTTAAAACAGCCTTCGACAGCGCAGTAAGGAGCTGTCTCTACGCCCGAATGTCTGAATTAGATATCCCCGCAAAAATTATACGGCTTGGCAGTACCAGGAGCGCAGTTAGAATTGGCAAGGATCTCTCCGACCATTTCGGTGCCCAACGACGTTTCAGACAGGGTGACTCTTTTACGTAAGATTTCTTCAATCCGATGCTAGAGAAAATAATAAGAGCTGCAGAGCTAAACACACAAGCTGCAACTGACTGACGTATACTGATATGCTGACGATATTGACATCGTAGGCTGCCCCGCCGTTAGTTCTGCCTACTCAGGACTTGATATGGAAGCGAAGCGAATGGATCTGGTATTGAATATAAGACGAAATATCTCCTGTCATCAAATAAACAGCTGGCGCATTCCCAACTTGACTCACACGCCAGTCATAACATCGAAGTTGTAGATAATTTCGTCTATCTAGGAATTACTCTTGCGTTTGAAAAGTAATTGGAATTGGATGGTGTTGATCTGGACAACGTTTACTTGCAACAAGACGATGTACACTTCTTCGTTGCTTGTGTGGAATGTAGCGCCGTTGACTAAAATAACTCACGCCCTTCTTCCCGTCCAAAGAAGCAGGAGTAACGAATAAAGTTTCTACCTGTTCATCGCGTCTCTTCGGATTAAACACCGATTTGACTGCGCAAAGCTTGGTTGCCCCACCGCGTCCTGTTAATTTAATACCTCTTATATCTTCCTTGCGCTCATTTATCTGAAAAATTGCAATTGTCTTTGAATATCAAAATAACCCCTCTTATCGGGAAACCCTTTATAACTAAAAGTATTGTTTTCGAGTATTCACAAATGAAATCTGCTTTCTTTCTGCAAACTTGGATATGAATTTCATTGCTCGCGACCTGCCCCATCACCATTTAATTCGCATTAAATATTTATTTATGCCGAGAGCAAAAAACAAAATATACGTTTGTCACACTTCACACCCTTCAGCAAAAATGATTGAGTCGAAAGATCACACCTCCTTGGCAGTATGACGTCAGACAAGCATAGTAAGGTAGAATGATTAAGAGAATATACATACGTATGCACAAACACCTCTTTCTATATATATATATATATATATATATATAAGTGTGTGTGTATGTGCATAGAGGTTGTGATTGTATGACGTCAGTATATCAAATGAGACAAGTAGCGGTAAATTCACAACGCCACCTCTAGTTCTCTACATCGTAGTACTTCAGTGAATGAATTAAAAGGCGCAAACACACACACATACACACATACGCAGCAAAGTTTCATTTTCATTCGTTGATGACAAATGGAAGCACGTTAAACACAAATCACATACAAATTCACACTCACCTTTTGGCCGCCAACTTTTCAGATACTAAATACTATACATATGTATGCACAACCATACATTACATACATTTCACACACTATTATCAACGCACAAAATCGTCTTTTCACTTTTCACTTTATTGCATAAGTTTTCTATTGTACATAGGCAATTAAGTTTTTTAATTATTTTACAACTTTTTTAATGGCAAACTCAACTGAAACTTTAGCTGAAAATTGCATACTAAAAACTTTTACAACGACCGTAGGTAGGTGCACGTAGACTGTTTGAGACGAGCAGCGAGCGATACGTGCAGTTGACCCAAAGTGATGGGCACGAAGAAATGATTTGATTAGTTTCTCGCTTGGCGAGACCCAGTTATATGTACATATGTTCATACATCCATAAATGCATACATACATATATACATACATCTACGAACAAATAAGAATAGGATGTGTGGCACGATGTTGGCTTGTTTCGTTGGTAGGTAAGCAGGTGTGTCGAATGCAACGACCTAACTAACGCTGTGTTCAGCGAGCCGACCGGCCCTACGAAGTATTGAGCCGAAGGTAAACAAAAAAACACGACTCCAGCTGAGGGAAACCAGATTTTGAGCGCAAAAATAGTAAGATAATACAAAATAAAAGAAGAGGGGATGAAACAGGAAGTGCAAAAATATAAATGTACAAGAAACTAAAATGCAACAGTAAAACTACATACAAACATGTACATATATATAAACTGTTTTAAAATGGTGTAAGTAAAATTTTTATTAAATATTTGATGTAGTAAAATGTCGTTCTTTTTTTCTTTTTTTTGTAATAGATGGATTTAGTGATCTGCATTCGCGTTCTATAAGTGCAATTGGATTAAGCTAGATGGCGTTAGAAAGATGAGATTTTGTACTGAATGTTCATCACTTAACTCAGCACTATTTGAACGCACGTCACAGACGGACATCACCAAAGAGCAAATACGTTATATTCTACAATTTATTTTCGCAAATCAGGCAGCTGAGAATGTGAATGCTGTTTCTGATCCTTTTACCGCACCAATAGTAAAGCATGCATCATTTCGGTTTCGCCGATTTCGTTCCGGTAATTTTAATGTATAAGTTTCTCTACGATGTGTAAGGCTGCAACTACCCAACTCACTCTCCAGCCGTCCATAACTGACGACGTTAGTAGTGAAATACATACACGAGCTATCGACGCCGCTGAAGCGGCGAAATGTTGCCAGCTGCCTGTGTGTTTGCACACTTTTGAACAAATTCATAATTTTCGTCAACGAATTTCATAATTTATTTGCTTTAACATAAACA